CCTTCAAAGAAAACAGCAGACAGTATTTATTGCCAATGATAACAATTTAGGTTTTAAGCAAAAATAAGAATTTTTTGTAGAATTTGTGTCTGTCACTATGACTTAAAATTTTCTGATACAGCTGGTGGTATTTTAATGTATATGATAATATGATTTTTTGGTATTATCTAATGATATACGTCAACATTTAGAAGTTCTACATATACTGTTTCTGTCTCTGGTGCTTGAATCAAGATTTAAAAATAATTTTCTAAATGATCAATGCATGATGCTGTAAAATTATGGATGGGTAAAAAAATAAATTCAAAGTGCAAGACAGATCCACGGATTTTAATGTCATAATAATATAAGAAGTTCATTGGCATCATTTCAGAGTCCACATAGTAATTAATCTTTAAGAAACTTAAACTATTAAAAAACTTAAAACTACGACTTAAGAAGCAATGATCTGAAAAAGCAATTATAATATTCTAGCTCGAAAAACTGAAAGCCTTTCCTTTAAGATCTGGAATAAGACAAGGATGCCCATTTTCACTGTTACTCAACATAGTGTCCTAGCTGGAGCAATCAGAAAAGAGAAAGAAAAGGCATCTAATTGGAACAGAAGTAGTCAAATTATTCTTGTATGAAGATGGTATGATCTTATATTTGGGAAAACCTAAAATTAGAACTGATAAATTCAGTAAAATTGCAGCATACAAAATCAACATACAAAAATCAGGAGCATTTCTACATGCCAACAGTGAACAATATGAAAAAGAAATCAAGAAAGTAATCCCATTTACAATGGCTACAAATAAAGTAATATACCTAGGAATAAATTTAACCAAAGGAATGAAAGATCTCTATAATGAAAACTGTAAAAGACTGATGAAAGAAGCTAAAGAGAACACACAAAAAATGGAAATATATTCCATATTCATGGATTGGAAGAATCAATGTTGTTAAAATGTCCATACTACCCAAAGCAATCTATAGATTAAATGCAATTCCTATCAAAATATCAATGACATTCTTCACAGAAATAGAAAAAATAATCCTAAAATTTATGTGGAATCACAAAGTACCCAGAATAGCCAAAGCCACTGTGAACAAAAGGAACAAAACTGGAGGAAACATATTACCTGACTTCAAATTACACTACAGAGCTATAGTAACCAAAACAGCCTGGTACTGGTGTAAAAACAATAGTCTAAATAGCCATAGACCAATGGAACAGAATAAAGAATCCAGAAATAAAACCATATATCTACAGTGAACTCATTTTTGACAAAAGTGCCAAGAACATACATTGAGGAAAGGACAATCCATTCAATAAATCCTGTCGTGGAAACTAGATATCCATATGCGGAAGAATGAAGCTAGACTCCCTATCTCTCACCATATACAAACATCAAATCAAAATGGATTAAATATTTAATTCTAAGACCTGAAACTATGAAACTGCTAGAAGAAACCATTGGGGAAACTCTCCAGGACTTTGGTCAGGGCAAAGATTTTTTGGCTAAGACCTCAAAAGCACGGATAACCAAAGCAAAAATGGACAGTGGGATCACATCAAGTTAAAAAGCTTCTGTACAGCAAAGGAAATGATCAACAAGTGAAGAGGCAACCCACAGAATAGAAGAAAATATTTGCAAACCACCCATCTGACAAGGGTGGTTAATAACCAGAATATATAAGGAGCTCAAACAACTCGACAGGAAAAAAAAAATCTAATAATCCTATTAAAAAATGGGCAAATGATCTGAATAGGCATTTCTCAAAAGAAGACATACAAATGTCAAACAGGTATATAAAAAAATGCTCAACATCACAAATCATCAGGGAAATGCAAACCAAAACCACAAGGAGATATCCTCTCACCCAAGTTAGAATAGCTGTTATCCAAGAGACAGGCAAGAACAAATGCTGGTGAGGATAGAGAAAGGGGAACCCTCCTACACTGTTGGTGGGAATGTAAATTAGTACAACCATATTCTCCATACTATGGAGTATAATATATAGTATGGATTCTCCATATAAATTCTCCATACTATGGAGAACAGTATGGAGGTTCCTAAAAAAACTAAAAATAGAACTGCCATATGACCCAGCAATCCCACTAGGCATACACACAAAAGAGAGGAAGTCAGTATATCAAAGAGATACCTGCCCTCCCATGTTTACTGCAGTACTATTCACAATAAACCAAGATTTGAACTCAACCTGAGTCTATCAACGGATGAATGGATACAGAAAATGTGGCACATATACACAATGGAATACTATTCAGCCATAAAAAAAATGAAATACTGTCATTTACAACAACATGGATGGAATTAGAGGACGTTATGTTAAGTGAAACAAGCCAGGCAAATACAAAAAAAGACATTTTGCATGTGCTCACTCATTTGTGGGAGTCAAAGATTAAAACAAGTGAACTCATGGAGACAGAGAGTAGAATGATGGTTATGAGAGGCTAGAAAGAGTAGTAGGGAGGAGGGTGGAAAGTGGAGATGTTTAGTGGGTACAAAAATATAGTCACATAGAATGAATAGATCTAGTATTTGATAGCACAACAGGGTGACTCTAATCAACAATTTACTGCATATTTTAAAATAGCCAAAAGAGTGGAACTGGAATGTTCCTAACACAAAGGGATGATAAATGCTTGAGGTGGTAAATACTCTATTAACTTCGATGTGACTATTATACATTGTATGCCTGTATTAAAACATAACATGTACCTCACAAATATATACTTATGAGCCCATAAAAATTAAAAATATTCACCCCCTTTTCAACCAATACATGTGTGAGGTTGGATTTTCTTCATGCTTCAACCAAAACAAAGTATATTCCTGATGTGACTATAGTAGGGGTGCGATAGACACACTTTTCACAATATGATAGCTGGAGAATAAAGCTCAGGAAACGAGCCAAAGCCACGCAGATGTGTCTTTTCCCAAAAATCCAGTCAAAGTATCACAACAGATGGAATGCAGAAGCAGACTTGAGAATCCACCTGTCTTCTATTGAGCCAGACATTAAAGAGATTTGCAAAAAATTTGGTTTGGAAAAGATTTTTTTTTTTTTTCTTTTTGGAGACGGAGTCTCACTGTGTCACCCAGGCTGGAGTACAGTGGTGAGATCTCAGCTCACTGCAACCTCCACCTCCCGGGTTCAAGTCATTCTCCTGCCTCAGCCTCCCAGGTAGCTGGGATTACAGGCGCGCACCACCACGCCTGGCTAATTTTTGTATGTTTGTAGTAGAGACGGGGTTTTGCCATGTTGGCCAGGCTAGTCTTGAACTCCTGACCTCAGGTGATCCGCCCACCTCGGCCTCCCAAAGTGCTGGGATTACAGGTGTGAGCCACTGCACTCGGCTAGAAAAGACTTTTTATAGAAATATATAATTTATGTTAATACATCATGCTCTTATCATTGTTATTTTTAAATGAGTTGACATATATATTTTAAATCTCAGTTTTAATTTCTGATACAATGACTACTGATAGATATAAACCAAATAAGCAAAAGCTGTTCGGGGTCCTTGAAAATTTTTAAGGATCAAAGAATTCTCAGACCAAAAAGTTTAAAGAAGCACCATCTTAGACCATTCCCATCCTCACAGGCAGCTACTGATAAAGGAAAACCCTTTGGAGAGAGCGAGCGCTAAAACAAGAGGCTTTCTACATTCCCAAGCTGGTTAGAACTGAAGCCTCAGTGGTAATTCCTATTCAGGGATCTCCAAAACACCATGCTATTGTGGTAGCTTGGCTTGATGCTGTCTCTAGCAAAAGTAAAAGAAAATAAAAGAGCTTTATAATAGGTGGGAGGAAATGAGAATATTCATAAAGCAAAAAACTAACCAAGTGCTGGGCCAATTCCATCAAATGGTCAAAAGTGAGGTGTGTAGGGAAAATTTTGTTGAAGATGAGAAGCAAATGGCTGACAAGGGACTCACTGAAAATCATTTACATGGTTGTTCTTTTAAACTCTGAATTTCTGCATCTGAGAATTCTGCAGTGCCCATCCTTGACTGCAACCCATCACTAGAACTGTAAGTAATAAAGCATTAATAATATGGGAACTGCTCTAAGCTTTCTCTTTTACCATTTGTAAAAAAAATTTTTAAAGAAATTGGTATTGTTTTAGTTCTTCACATTCCTTCATCTTCTGCCACTCAAGTGGAGTTGCACTAAGGTAAAATTTGTAATAAGCAAAATATATTTAAATTTGGGGCTCTGCTATTCAAGCTTAAAATGAATTTAGCATCTTTAGAAAAAGTACAATCATCAAAACAGCCTAAATAAACTTAAAAACTCTTCTTTACGGAAAGGCTATTTTAAAACCAAACAAGCTGATAACAAGGACAATGGATTGTGAGTTCTAACACTCTCAGATTGAAGGCTGAACTGGAAAGACTAGCTGCTAACAGCGGCTGCTGTAGCTCCAGGTGATGGGGGACACTGGAATATTCCTTTTGTGACTATAGTATGGGTGCAAGAGACAGACACACACACACACACACACACACATATATATACACACACTGTTACTTACTTTTCACAATATTTTGGCTAGAGAATAAAGCTCAGGAAAAAAGAGCAAAAACCATGCAGACCTGTCTTTTTCTACAGGTCCAGTCAAATTTGAGGATCACATCTCCCAGAAGGGGCTTGCTTCTCCTTACTGCCACCCACATACACTCATTAGCCCTGGGAATCCAGCACAATTGAGAAGCTCAGACTGCAGAAAGCCTGATTTTTAAGGATGGGTCAAACTAGAACTGGAACTGGAACCTTAACAGCCAATACTTCTGCAATCTTATGCAGGTGCTTCTGAAGTATTTACAACTAGAAAAGAACTACATAAAGTTTAGGGAGTTATTAGATCTCTGTTTTTTTTTTCCTTCCCTGAATAACTGACTTAACAACTTTTCTTTTTCTTTCTTTTGGTGGTAAATAGTGGGTATTTATTTGAAATGAAAAAAAATTACTTAAGTACCTGGACTATTGCATTTAATCATGTATTGTAATTGTGTTACTCTACCTTTTTGCATCAGAGACAAATATACAATGAACATTCAGATATCACAGATTGCACACTAGATAGTAATTCTTCAGGTCTTTTACATAACCAAGAAACATATTGGTTTCTGCAATATAGTATAAAAGTCCACAATCAATCCAGTCTTAGCCAGTATCTTCAATTTACTTCTGTTGCTGTACAAATAATTGGCCATTACTAGGGCTTACAAGTTAATAACAGGACAAAAAATATACATTGCACTGACACAAAAAGTCAGCTGTGTTAATAGTCATGCAACAAGTAACCAAACTTGCTGAAATTAAAAATACTTTCTAAAAACAGTTTTAACGGCATAAATATTTTATACACAGTTCATTTACCAAAACAAAATGTATTTAAATGATACAAAGCAAAAATAAGTTTCTACCAACTTTATACATAAGAAAGTGCAAAATAACTTATCTATAGAGTGTTTTGCTATTATCCAGACGGATGGCTGCTATGGGCAGCTATTCTCTTCTTCAAAAGCATGACATTACAGTTGCACACTACACACAAATGTTAGAATACATGGATGAACAAATGAACAGGTGGATGGATGAATGAACAAACTACGAAGATCAGGCAGGAGCCCTGTGAGGTACTCAGAGAAAGAATGCAGACCACACTAAGGTAGATGTACATGTTGACAATAGATGTTGGTAAATAAATTTACATGGAACACAGAACGATATCCAGAGAAATAATTAGTTTATGTGAGTGTACTTGTATGTGTGAGTGATTCTGTTGATTTCTGCATTAGAGGCAAAAAGAAAAGAAACCCGATTGAACAAAACAGTTGCCCACAGCACCAGCTGCCAGAGGAAATACTACCATGAGGGTTTTGGTTTCCACCTTCTAGTTATGGAAGTCGTGTCAGAAAGTTAGTAATGAAAGTTGTGTCGGAAAGTTTAAAAGTGTTCATCTCATATAGTTTCCTATTACAAAGAGGAATAACCTTTAAGTAACAACACACACACGTTCATATATTCAAGTCTTTAAAGAACACCTCTGCCACTGGGTATGGGGTAAACATGATTCATGGACAAAAGGAGGACGCTTCTTTTAAAAAGTGTAGAATAACACTGCTACAACTCATCTAGAGGGCCACACAGGGGCAAGGCCCACAGTTACGTGATAGCACAATTTCTGCAACTGTTGAACATCAGCATTATTTATTAGAATTGAAGATGGTGATGGGGGAGGGACAGTGTGGGGGGAGTAAGACACAGAAAGGAAAACAGAACACAACTTTTCTTTAAGTTAAAGTATTAATGCCGATAATCCTTTTATTAACAAGTATATTTGAACTTTTAGAAATGGAAGTGTTTTAATCAATTTTGATATGTAATCATAAATAGTCTGTAGGCTCAAACCCAGGTAAATAAAGATTTAAATTTAGTAAGCGTAAGGCACTAAAGCAGCCTTTATATTTTCTCTTGGAGACCTAGTTATCGTATCAGGAAGAACAAATTTGTTCTTAAGCTGGTTTCAGCCCATCAGGTACAAGATCACCATTGTACCAAATGCCTATTTTTGAATGCATGTGCATATATGTGCATTTTAGTGCATAAGTGTGCCTCTCACCAGGGCCTAAAGACGGAAAGTTGGAAAAGCCAAAGCCGCTGTCCTTTGCATGACACCTCTGCGAGGATGTGAAGGCCTTTCCTTTCGCACCTGTGAGGGTGTGAAGGCCTATCTTGGGCCATTAATGATTCTACATTTTTCAAATCACAGGGCTTTTAGAATTGTTCATAATATTATCACTAAGTTTCTGAAAATGTTAAAATCTAGATTAACTGTTTCATTTTTTAATATTTATATATATATGTACATAACACACATTTAAAAAAAATCCCACCACCAAGCCTTTTCTCTGTAAACTAATCTCTTAGCCCCTTCCAGCTTTAATCCCCCTGGATTTGTGTGTTCTGTATCCAACTAGTAGAACAAATTAAATAACTAAATATTAAAATACTGTAATTATATTCATAGCAAAAACAAAAAAATAGACATTGATACAGTATAAATCTCACTGTTTTCAGGTAGATGACATTAAATGGTAAAGGTTAATTTTAAGCAGTTCTGACATGATTCAGTTTTACAACAAAGTTTATATGTTAATTCTGTACACTTTTTTCTTTCCTTTTTTTACCCCTTTTTTGAAAATAAGCTATAGTAGAACATCCGTGTCACGAAAGACACATACTTATTATGTTCTATGCAAGATAAGCTAATTTTGGGTTACATGCAAATATATTTCCATTAGTTGAGACAGGGCTGTTTCCTGCACTGCATTGGTCATCTGACCACCTTTCTGCAATGCTAACAATGTATTCTTTGACCAAACAGCAGTCCACGTACAAGTTTAAAAGGGGCCTTGTTTATGTAGGAACAACACTGAGGTGGTGCATAGCCAGGTACAAGACACCCAAATATTTCCAGTTTATCTTACAGCTGGACTCCTATTCTCCCACGCTGTTTCCTAAAGAAGGTCGACATTATTTTGGTTACTAGCCTAGTTTAAGTGGAGATACTGTGGGCAACTTGAAAGAAATGACATCAGGCACACAGGCTGAGCTTGAAAGGAAAAAAAGACCACAGATAATGTCTTTGGGGATTTAAAAAAACATATTTATAATTAATTGGTAAGTGAGGGATGTCAGACAAACCGTAAGTAGTTCATTGAGTTAGTAGTTTAGTTTGAAGTTTCATGTTACAGGCAGTTAAGTCCTTATTTAGAAAAAAGGCCTTTTATACCTATTTACAATATACAGTTACTTGCAAAGAAGTCAGATTTACAACCATTTTCTAAAAGCCTTTTTTGTTGTTGGTTTTTCCAAATAAGGATGAGTAGCTCTATAAAAATGAGATGCAAGAAAAGAGAGTTAATAAGTGAGGATATTTCTCTTGGAGACAGCTACTGTCATCAGGGAGAATTGGAGATGGAAAGTGTTGCTTCTAGGAACCACCTCATATTCTTCTTGTGCTGTTCACCTGAATCACGTCTGCCCCATTCCTGTACTCTACACCCGTTTTATTCAATGATCCCTTTGAATTTTAACACTTCAAACACGTGGTATGAAGAGATGTGTAAACGGAGACTGTTTTCAATGCCTTCCAAGCTGGGACAGGAGAATCGGGAAGGGGTCTACAGACCGTGGTCTCCACTCAGCTTGTTGAATCTTCAACAATTTCGAGGCCCATCTTCTGAACCTCTCTCATGCTGTAAGTTATAATAACAGTTCTGACAAACACGCACCGGGGATGAGATTTTCAAGCGTTTGATTTCAGATTGAAATCGACTGCACCTAAAGGAAAGGAAAAGTCAATTAATTATTGGTCTCCTCCATGCTTGATCATGGGCTCCGGAATATTAATAATCGAATGGAAAGCTTGCAGTAAAATGCCAAAGGCCATACTGGTTTGTGTTGTGTGGCTGAACAAGGACTAAAAGGAAAGCTGTATTATTTGTTTCAGTCTATGAAGAAATGCAGTATTAAACCAGGGAAGCTATTTCTTTGACTGATGAGAATTAAAAAAAATGAAAACAAAAAAACAGAGTTAAGATTTTCCTACACAATGAGGCCAAGGTGTCTGAACATCGATGTGAGGCCATTCTACCTGTGCAGACTAATTCTCATGGCCTATAAGCTTGGGAATACAGTATGTCAGTGTCTTTACTTGGAGCTTGACATATTTCTCCTGGAAATTAGAAAAACTGTGGAAATTAGAAGACTCACTAATGAATATCTACTTCCAAGAGAATTACTAATAACTCATTAGTGAGTCTTCTAATTTCCAAGAGAAATATGAGTTTGATCACTATCAAGTTCCATTATGCTTTTAAACATTTTGATTGATCCACTCTTCAATCATTTCTTAAACAGACTGGCTTTCCTTTTCCAGTCCCAACACCCTCATTTCCTACTTATCTTGCTGGAACTGTTTGAAGCAGACTACTCTTAAGAGATGTTCAAATTCTTTAAGAAGTATTCAGAGTTCCTATTCCTGGAATAAAGCTGGGTGTGACTCAGGATGTGGTATTAAATCACTTTAGGCTTGGATTTTCACAAGATTAAAATGGAAATGAAAAAAAAAATTTTTTTTTTTTTAAGAGATGGGGTCTCAGTACATTGTCCAGGCTGTCCTCAAATTCCTGGCCTCAAGTGATATTCCTGCCTTGACCTCCCAAAGTGCTGAGACTACAGATGTGAGCCACTGTACCTGTCCCTGAAATGGAGATTTATGTTTAGTCCATTAATCTACCAGTAAAAGTGTCTAGAGAGTAAATTAAGTACTATAAGCTTATGGCTTTAAAGGACTGTCACTGGACCTCTGAGAACCCTGAGGAGTGTCAACAGCTCTTAGCCATAGAGACCACAGGCTGTGTGTTCTGGACAGCACTTCCTTCTGTGCCTGCTTCATCGGAACTTATCACTCTTTGGTCAGTTTCCAATAAAGCTTCCATCTAACATTTAATAGCAATGGATAATTTAAAGAATTACCTATAATTAAACAATATTTTGAAAATTAAACATGACAAAGAACAGATGTGTGCCAGCAGACATACGGAAGTGCTAGCACAAATCACTAGATTAATATGATGGGTGTGGAGGTTGAAAACTATAATCCCAGAACTTTGGGAGGCTGAGCTGGGGGTACTGCTTGAGCCCGCAGCTTTGAGATCAGCCTGGGGAACATAGTGAGACTCTGTCTCTACAAAAAATACAAAAATTAGCCAGGTGTGGTGGCTCTTGCCTATAGTCTTAGCTACTTGGAAGGCTGAGGTGGGAGGACTGCTTGAGCCTGGGAGATCAAAGCTGCAGTGAGCTGTGATCATGCCACTGCACTCCAGCCTGGGTGATAGAGGAAGACCCCATCTCAAGAAATCTATATCTATATCTATATCTATATCTATATCTATATCTATATCTATATCTATATCTAGATATATATAGATATGGGCCGGGTGCAGAGGCTCATGACTGTAATCCCAGCACTTTGGGAGGCTGAGGTGGGCAGACCATGAGGTCAGGAGTTCGAGACCAGTCTGGCCAATATGGTGAAACCCTGTCTCTACTAAAAATACAAAAATTAGCCGGGCAGGTGGTGCATGCCTTAGTCCCAGCTACTCAGGAAGCTGAGGTAGGAGAATCGCTTGAACCCAGGAGGCAGAGGTTGCAGTGAGCCAAGATCGCGCCACTGCACTTCAGCCTGGGTGACACAGTGAGATTCCGTCTCAAAAAAAAAAAAAAAAAAAAAAAAAAAAAAAAAAAAAAAAAAAAAAAGAAAAAAAGAAAGAAAGAAAGAAAGAAAGAAAGAAAGACTATATGGCTCTGTGCTTTGAAAGGCCTGCTCTATAAAACCCATTATGGGTTTTAAAATGTATTATTTATTTTTTTGAGATGGAGTCTTGCTCTGTTGCCCAAGCTGGATGGAGGGAAGTGGCATGATCTCGGGTCACTGCAACCTCTGTCTCCTGAGTTCATGTGATTCTCTCACTTAACCTCTTGAGTAGCTGGGATTACAGGCACACACCACCACACCTGGCTAATTTCTGTATTTTTAGTACAGACAGGGTTTTGCCATGTTGGCCAGGCTGGTCTCGAACTCCTTACCTCAGGTGATTAGCCCACCTCAGCCTCCCAAAGTGCTGGCATTACAGGTGTGAGCCACCGTGCCCAGCCTGGCCAACATGGCAAAACCCTGTCTGTACTAAAAATACAGGCCTTTAAAAGGCCTTTAAAAGCACAGAGCCACTAGACAGAATCCTCTGCCAGCCCCACAGAAATTCCCATAGGAAATGGCTGGCTGCAACATTTTGGGTCCCTCATCTTGAACCAGACTGCCCAGCAGAAAAGGTTTAAGGAATCAAATTATGGAACATCTGTTTTGCCAGACTCTGAACTTGGTGCCTTAAAACACTCATACATGTGATCTCATTTAATTCTCTCAGTAGCTCTAAGAGGACTGGTCTTCTTACCCACATTTACAGATGAAGAAACCAAAGCTCAGAGAGGCTCGGTAACTTGCTGGCATTATGGCAACAGAAAGCAGCACAATGAGCATTTGGTCAGTGTAAACCCAAAGACTATGCCCACAACAGTAAGCCAATGCTGCTTACAAAACCTCAGAAACTGCCTCATAATTACACAAGTTAAGAATAATATGCTTTCTATGAAGGCATCTCTGGAGTAAGGCAATACAAGCCTTAGAGTATACTGTCCATGGAATCCTTCCTGTGGTCTGGCAGAAAAGTAATGACTGTGGATATGTATCTGGGACCCGGGTGTAGGACAGAGTTATCAACCAAATCCACAGCCATGGGACCGCCGACCTTTCATATGGGGGAAAAACAGATCCTTGCCTCATGTCATACCCCAAAATGAATTACAAATGAATTAAAGATCTAAATGTGAAAAATAAAACTTTGAAACCTTTAAAAGAAAATAAATAAGATTATCTTCGTGATCTTACATTTCACATACAGGTCTCCAAATTAAATATGATGAAATACTAGCATATGTGCATTCTGTGTCATGGATGACAAGGTGTTTGTGACTTGTATGATAGAAAAATTTCCTAATTGTAGCAATAAAGAAGAACAGAAAAAGTGAAGACTGGTTCATACTAACAAGGCATACTGTAGTGGGGATGCCAGGGCAATCAGAACCTGTGTGTAGGACATAATTAACATCCTTAGAGCTTACTCAATGTAAATTCAAAAAGCAGATATCTTATCTTACTTCTGGCAGAAGAGCTGACCACAGTTCCTGCAATGGTGTCGTCTTTCTGTGAGTGAAAACCTCACCGAGCAGCCCGAGCAGCTGTCACCGCCTTCATCCTTCACCCAGTGATCAGCAGCAGAACGGCCTGGCTGGTCACTCACAGACCAGCTGAAAACTCGGCCTCGACTGTCACCAACGAGGATCCTACTGTGATCCCTGCAGGAGACATGACAGAGGAGGTCATTGTATAGAAGGCTTCTGTTGTCTGTGATCTCCTTCTTGAGGCTCTCTGGTTTTTGGTGGATGTGTGTTTTGGGGTCAGGGCTGGTAAGGGTCCCGGAGAGACTCCTTGATTCACTCAGGGATGTATGTGTAAACAGACAAAAACTGAATTGAGCCCAAATTTACACTTCCATTTCAATTTTCTTTGGATCACCCTTGCTATATCTTTGAAGAACAGAAAAAGCAGTTTTTCACTTTTTTTAAAAATTCAGAATTAAAATCCAGTGTATGGGCACGGTGGCTCACACCTGTAATCCCAGCACTTTGGGAGGCCGAGGTGGGCAGATCACTTGAGCCCAGGAATTTGAGACTAGCCTGGGCAACACGGTGAAATCCCATCCTACAAAAAATACAAAAATTAGCCAGGTATGATGGTACGCGCCTATAGTCCCAGTTATTTGAGGGGCAGAGGTGGGAGGACTGCTCGAGCCTGGGAGGTTGAGGCTGCAGTGAGCTGTGATTGTGCCCCTGCACTCTAGCCTAAGCAACAGAGCAAGACCCTGTCTCAAAAAAAAAAAAAAAAAAAAAAAAAAGAAGAAGAAAAAGAAAAGAAAAATATCTACACACTGACAGGGTTCTTCTTCAAATTTATCTCTTTGAGCTATGTATGATAATACAAATAAAATCTGTTTTCCCCAAAGACAAGGCTGGAGTATATGGCCCTTGGCTAACCAAATGACTCAGATGGGAAGCGGAGCTGGAAAAAGCCTGACACTTACTTGGAGATGCCCAAGGCAGTGACCTCAGCTGGGTGTGCATTGTCCTTCCGATCAAAGGCTGTGTGCATAGTCAGCTTACTCCTGAACACCAGCTGCCGTTCCCATCGGTACCCTGGAGTGGAGAAGTGGAGGACACAACATACTCAACTGAGGGAAGCTAGTACTGGGGAGAAATACTCTACGACGGTGGCCTTAAACTTAGGGTACCTCAACATACAGCTACAGCAGCTTTTCCAGTTCTCAGCAGTTGCCGCCTTGGTTGAAAGTAAAGCTATCTAGCTTGATATTAACATGGGTCAGGCTGAAGAAATATCTCACTGAAGGAGACAAACTAATGAGAAGCGGAAATTTCCAGTGCAAGCAGATGCATCCAATTTCTCCAACTGAGGACCTTGCTTCTAACTCTATTCTGGGCAAAGTTACCTGTGAATGCAGTTTTATTTATTCATTTTAAATTAGCTTGCGTGATTTAATGAGTTGTGAATAAATGCAGTTTTTGTTTGAGGTATTTTTCTTTAGAAGATGCCCAGCATATTGCAAACACCCTTGTAGGATAGAATTTTTAAGTCCACTTTACACTAGAAGAAACTGAAGAGGCCTTCTGTGTAAAGAGGCCTTTTGTGTGAGTGGCCCAGGTCACAGGGCACATCCAGGGTGGCGCCCAGGGAGAGCTAGACCCCACTGCCTCAATCCACCAACCCTCACAAAACATATAAGGAGTGAGAAATAGATACCAGACTTCAAGTTACCAGGTTTCAATCTGCTGTAATTCCGCACCTCGATGGGATTGGGGTGGGGGTGGCTAAGGGGGCCCTGCAGATGGGCTCTGGTCTGGCCCTCTGAATAGTTCACAAATATGAAGCCATCTTTCTCATCTAGACTGAGCTGGTCCGACCAGCGTCTGGAGTCATCAGAGCCACTGTCAGTACACCAGGCAGCTGCTGCGCGGCAGGAGGCTGTTCGGGGTCTGTGGCTGGTGCTGCTGGGTTGGCTTGGAGTGTCCTTAGGATCCTGGCTTACGCTCTGCTCATCTGCTTCTGAATCACTGCTGTCCTCGTCTTGGCCTTCCTGCCCTGGGTGAAGCATTGAGATAATTGGAACATACAGAACCACCAAAGGTACACCCAGCTTTGTTCTACTAGCATTTTTTTCTCCCAGTTATAAGCCTTTATAGACATAATATTTTAAGCTAAGTGTAACAAAAAAGAAAGTAAGTGCCACGATTTTTGGCTAGAGTACACAGCAAAGAAATAAAAAAGCAGAATTTCTGAAAGAGTTTATTAAAAACTTTGGCCAAAATCCTTAACTTGGAATTCAGTCTCCCACAATCTGGCCAGAACATGCCTTTGCCGCACACTCCCTGCCATGCTGCAGCTAGACGGTGTCACTCCAGCTCTCTCCCTGCAGACCTGCTCCTCCAAGGGTGAGCTTCCTCACATGCTGCTGGTGCCGCCTAGACCCAGCTTCTCAATCTGTGTGTTCCGACGTCACCTAGCTTTCAAGGCACAGCTTAAACATTCCTGTCTCTAAATCACCTAATTCCTTCAGCTCAAAGTATTCTCCCCCTTTTCTGGACTCCTTTAACAGTTCTGTGCCTCCCAAGTTCTTGAAATTGTCATTCTAAAAGATTACTTTTGGATATTCTATATATATATATGTGTGTGTGTGTGTGTGTGTATATATATATATATATATAAATATTTATTTATTTATTTTTGGAGAAAGAATCTTGCTGTGTTGCCCAGGCTAGAGTGCAGTGGCATGATCTCGGCTCACTGCAACCTCTGCCTCCTGGGTTCAAGCAATTCTCCTGCCTCAGCCTCACAAGTAACTGGGACTACAGGTACCCGCCACCACACCTGGCTAATTTTTGTATTTTTAGTAGAGACAGGGTTTCACTATGTTGGCCAGGCTGGTCTTGAACTCCTGACCTCATGATACACCCGCCCCGGCCTCCGAAAGTGCTGGGATTACAGGTGTGAGCCACCGCGCCCGGCTACTTTTGGATATTCTTTCTACAAGATGGTAGAGAGAAGGACCATTGCAGACAGTGGTTAATGGCTGAAAGGTTAGTGAATTATCTTATTTTTAATTTTTATTTATGTACTTATTTTTACAGACATGTATCTTGCTCTGTCACCCAAGCTGGAGTGCAGTGGACCAATCATAGCTCACTGTAGCCTCAACCTCCTGAGCCCAGGGAATCTGCCCGCCTCAGCCTTCTGAGTAGCTGGGACCACAGGTGCATGCCACAACACTTGGCTAAAGATTAGTGAATTATTGATGAAAGCCTTACTTTGGAATTTAGTTCTTCTTCCTCTTTTCACTGTTATTTTGCATTTCTTCACATCAACTCTCTACTCTGTTGCAATAAAGTCTACTGGAGGGAAAATATATAAGAAACAAGTACACCTGGCCCTCCATTTCTGTGGGTTCTACATCCATGGATTCAATTAACCTCAGATGGAAAGTATTGGGGAAAATAAACTGTGTCTGTTACTGAACATGTGCAGAATCTTTTTTTCCTTGTCATTAGTCCCTAAACAATACAATATCACAACTATTTACACAGCATTTACATTGTATTGCAAGTAATCTGGAGATGATTTAAGGTATTCAGGAGGGTGTTAGTAGGTTTTATACAAATACTACTTACACCATTTTATATCAGGGACTTGAGCATTCTCAGATTTTGGTATCCAAGGGAGGTCTTAGAACCAACTCCTGAGGATACTGGGCCCACCACAGTTATTTTCTTAGCAAGACAAATACTTTGTCTGCTTCCTACTCAGTAGGGGTCTACTGGACTAATGTGAATGAAGTTTTCACCCCAACCGCTTATGATCACGAGCTCTGAGGTCCGCAAACAAGCAGCTTTGGAAGCGGCTTTAATTTCCAGTGAACCTCTAGCTTGTTTACATTTCGCCCCAGCAAGTGCCCACAAATCTCACCACTTCCACATTGTCCAGTTCTTCTGTGGGCTGCTCTCCCTCTCTGCCACTTCTGCCAGACTGCCCACAATAAAGACATACAAATATCTTTCCACCCTGAATTTGACCCCTTCTATCTCACTCATGCACATCATCTTCCACTGTTATTTACTTAAAAGCTTTTTAAGGGAAAGGAAAATGACCCACTTCTCACTGGTTCCCTTAATTCACTATCTGACGTATAACAGGTAACCCCCGAACACTTACTGAATTAAACTGAATTCTTATGTCTCCAAACACCCAAATGACCTTTTCGGTGGGGCTGTAATTAGAAATTTACATGTACTAATATAACACCAGCATTAAAATGTCCTGCCCAAGGTATCTTTTTTCTTCTCTGGCATGGAAAGTAAAAGCTACTTTCAGCTTATATAGAGAAGTGACTTGTGTCCTTCAACTAAGTTTCCTTTATTAACTCTCTGATATCATCAAAGTCACAATGAATTCTCAGTGTACAAAAGCCAATCATGAAGAAACAATCTGAAGGTCAAACTTAAAACCTTGTTCCTTTCCAGGAAGTTCCTTGTACCCACTGCTCTACATCAAAGGGGGTGGCTTCTTCAGAGACTGCAATGCAAAGCAGATCTCACCCTGGCATTATGGCATTGCTTTCAGTTATTCTGGGTAGAAATCAATTCTCTCTATATTTCACTGGAAAATTGTAAATTGCTTTACAAATAATGTACTACAGGTAACCAGGCTTCAGTGTGAATTAATGCCCTAATGTAAGCAAGTCTGACGGTGGACTCTGGTCTGCCTCTGTTAATTGTTTACAAACACGATTTTATCTGTGATGCACACTGAGCCAGCCCCATGGTGGGCAGAACAAATGTGGGGCTGGGGTGCAGCAGAGCTTTTCTGACTTATACAACAGCATGCCCTCTAGGTCTGTTGTGTTTTCAGAAGTGAAAGCCCAAGCCTTTGGTACTCCAGGAATTAAGTGCTATATTTAGTATGGAATGTGGAAGTTAACCGCAAGACACCACCACACCGAATGTTGCCCAGTGAAGTAGAGAAAACCTGGCATGTCTGCTCAAAGGAATCACACAACAGGCAGCAACCACGCTTCTCCAAGCAGTGCCCAACCTTGGGCTCCTCTTTATGTTGTTTGGTATAAGTTTATCCACAGTGATGGAAAAGAAATGTGAAAACGACTGAGTCATTTTTAGAAAGTATTAAATACCTATTTGTGCTTCTGGACAGTCTTCCTGCATTTCTAGGTGTTCAGCAGGCTCAGGAGCTGGTGTTTCAGGAACTTGCAAAAATTCCATCCTCCAAAACTAAATTAAAATAAGTACAAAAGTTAAAACGTTCCAAAACAGATTAAGGAACCAATTTACATTACTCAGTGAAGATAGACTCTCAGGGTTAACAGATAGCTTAATTTCCATCATGTTATACAGTTAGATTTCCCGTATCTTGGAAGATGTGGCACGGGACTGCCTACACACAATGGCTGTTTCAAAGTAGAGGGAAAAGATTACAGTCATATCAGTTTAAAAACATGGTTCAGGCCAGGCGCAGGGTCTCATGCCTATAATCCCAGCATTGTGGGAAGCCAAGGTGGGCGGATGATTTGAGGTCAGGCGTTTGAGACCAGCCAGGTCAGCATGGTGAAACCCTGTCTCTACCAGAAGTACAAAAATTAGCCGGGCATAGCAGTCCATGATTGCAATTCCAGCTACTTGGGAGGCTGAGGCAGGAGAATTGCTTGAACCCGGGAGGCAGCGGTTTCAGTAAGCTGAGACTGCACTACACTCCAGCCTGGGCGACAGAGCAACTCACTCTGTCTCAAAAACAAAACAAAAACATAGTTCAACTAAGTAAACTTTTTTGTTTCCTACAAAAACCTCTCAGAGTCTTGCATATGCTAATATACATTATAGATCCCCAAGAAGGCACACAGTAAACAGAATCCCCAGGTGCCCAGCTAGGGAGCTATTTTATGCTGCTTCACAGATTAAGCATGTGAAACATCACTGTCGAGGAAGCGGACTCCAGGGTGTGTGTGTATGTGAGTTTTTGTGTGTGTGTAGATGTGTATTGTGTGAGGTACAGGGTGTGGTAGTGGAGTGGCCTGATGGCCTCACTGTCTCTCCACATGTGACTCTGACTAAAGAGGGTGGTAATCAGCTGCTCTCTGCTTTTACAAAGAGCACAATTAAAGAAAAACAAGCACAAAGAAACATCTCCTGACACAGAACCACTCAAATACTGCAACAGACTACAAAAGTGAATACTCCATTGCCTCTATTTTCTGTAGAGGCCAAGCACATAGCAACCTGAGAAAAGGATAAAGTACATCTAGGCTTCAGGTGCAGTCATCTGGGATCGTAGCTGGGGACGCTGGAAGTATTTTCCAGTACTGTGATTCTTTGTAGGGAAGAAACTTATCCCTGCTCACTATGTTTTCTCTACGAAGCCATTTGACAGGCTGAAAACCCAGTACTTCTGCAGTTTGCATTTTGAGCAATCCCAGTGTGACATGGGAATCATGTTTAAGTGACCTAATTGTGTCAAGCTGTCAAATGGCCAGTAGCACTACCAGATCTACTTAATAGGAAGAAAAGAGGCCAAGACACTGGTGTTCCTCATGTCTGATAATGCAGAGGCCAAGGCTTGTCTGAACTGGAGCAAGAGTTCACTAAACATTACAACCTGTTCAGGTGTTCTTAACCTGTAGTTAGCTACAGGTTTCAGGTAAACAGGGACGACAAATATCCTAATGAGTTTTTCTCTCAGCTCACTTACCCGAACCACTCCATCTGAGTGTCCTGTCACTATGACGTTCTGTGTGTCCCATTCGTTCATCTCTGACACGCAGCAGCAGATGATCTGCTGGCTCCTACCTGTGAATGTGTTGACACTCACGATAGGGTTCCCATTGATGCTCCACACATGGATGTATGTGCCAGCGCAGGACACAATGTCCCCCTGAGAAGAGAGAGAAAAATGTCATTCTCTTTGCTCCCTTCCAATTACCTTCTGGTTTCTGAAGCAAACTGAATCCCTGGCCTAGTTCTCAGAAAGCTTTTCAGTCCCAAGACTAGCGGCTAATTTCTTAGGTAATCTGAAATTCAGTGCTTGCTGACTTAAAAAAAATACCCTGAACAAAGGCTTAAGAATTCACAGTTGAGTGGATGCAGTGGCCAAAGGGACCACAGATGGAGACAAAGGGTAGGTTCACGTCCCTGGCACACTGCTGAGCAAGGTCTGGCGACACAAGAAAGCTCCCTGTCATCTGAGGAGATGATGAACTACTCTTCTTCCTCCCATTGTTAACAAAATCTATTACGCCTTTCATCTAGAGGCAGGAATCCACCTCCACTTTTACAAAATGAATCCAACCACTAAAACCACAGGGTAGAAGAGGCATATTTCAGTTCAGATATAGTTGTGTTTCTTCAATAAATCAAAAGGCATAATCTTGGTAATGCTGTAATATCCTATTTTAAAATCTGTATTCAAAATAGGGGTGGGGGAATGTGGGGGGAGAAAAGGAGTGGTACATGGGTCACTTCTTGGCAAACTTAGTAAAAACCAAGATCCCTGAGCTGATAACTTATGTTTTCATGAGTTCCAAAGACAGAAAAGAACAACCTATTTTCTCAAATTCTACCAGGCTGGGCTCTACCTAACCTGGTGAGAACACAACCCACTATAGTTAAAGAAAGGAGGATGCTTTCTGAAGCATCTCCTGTATGCCAGTCACTGGGGTGGAGACTTCAGATGTTCTGGTTAACACAGAAACCTTGTGAGACTATCATTAGCCTTGCTTTAAAGGATGAAAGTGAGGGGCAAAGAACTTAAGTAACTTATTTATCATCAGAGATTTGAAGCCAGCTTTCTATAGCCCCAAAACTTATATACCATACCGTGCTGCCTCTCTCATTCCTAAGACAGTCTGGATATCACGATGCTAGGCATTAGCTTTAGAAAAGACCTGGTAAAGTTCAGTACCCTCAGGAGATACATAAGAACCTACATAAGTCTGAAGATGGTCAGCAAAAACAGAGGAGAACTAGAAGCTGCAAAGCAGCATCAACACATAAGAAGGTAAGGTGGAGGAGGCTGGGGTAGGGTGAGGAAGAGGACTAGGCCTGTTCCATCCAGTCTGTGCTGCACTGTCTGTGCTGGTCTTGCTACTGCTCCTCCTTATTCCTCCCATCCCCCAGCTCTTCTTCTACCAAAATGGCAAGAAATAAACCAAAACCCAAACTGAAACAATACTTAGCAAAGCACTGTTGTGTCTGCTTCTATTTCAGTTACTGAACCATCTCTGACTATGAGTGTCAGCAGTTGAGTTTTAATTAGTGGCTTCAGTCTCTGCAAGAGACAATTGCTCCATTCTGCACTGGGCAAGACCTTCTTCAGTTACTCTGGGGACTTAATTAGAGTTTATTAGAGTAAATCCTGTTGTTATGAAGGCAGAGACATAAGAAGAATTAAAGGCAAAGAGGCGTTGGCCTAAAATGTAAACTGAAATAAAGCAGACTTGATATTGGTTGGAGAAACACAACAGAAATAGAAATCTTTTCATGAGTTATTAAGATATTACAAGAGCATCTTAAAAAGAAAAGACTGCTTTTGTAGTATTTGCAGCAAATATTGCAATCCAGTAGTGTACACTGGCTCAAACAACTGGCTATAATAAAATTATCAGTATTTAGGTTAAGAACAACCCCAAAACAAAGTGCTCCAAATAATGGATTAAGCATCTGATTCAACACTGCTGCATCAGAGTGGTTCTACAGCACCCACATTTTTGTAAAGCTCTTTAGGTTCAAATGTTTGCAGGACCAACCCAAGGTGTTGTTCTGAAAACCTCTTAAAGCTTTCAGACACAAACAAATTTGGCACTTCTACCCTTGCATGTCCCCTACTCATTCTCAACCTGAGTACACCTGCCATTATTAATCAGACACTCTAAATGACTGACAACTATAAATGAATTTCTTTTTTTTTTGTTTTTGTTTTTTTTTTGAGACTGAGTCTCGCTCTGCCGCCCGGGCTGGAGTGCAGTGGCAGGATCTCGGCTCACTGCAAGCTCCGCCTCCCGGGTTCACGCCATTCTCCTGTCTCAGCCTCCCGAGTAGCTGGGACTACAGGCGCCCGCCACCTCGCCCGGCTAGTTTTTTTGTATTTTTTTTTAGTAGAGACGGGGTTTCACCATGTTAGCCAGGATGGTCTCGATCTCCTGACCTCGTGATCCGCCCGCCTCGGCCTCCCAAAGTGCTGGGATTACAGGCTTGAGCCACCGCGCCCGGCCAAATGAATTTCTTTCTTTTTCCTTTTTAAATAAGATGACTACAAGATAGTTGACTAAAAGTGTTAACACTGAGTAACTACTGGTAGAAATCAAAGATGCAGCATCCTTGATGAGGAAAGCTGTCTGTGTAGGTGACAGTGTGAACGTCACTCAATGACATGGCTAGAACTGTTCTGTGCATGAAGGATGGCCCTGCGGTAGGGGTGAAGGTAAGATGGCAATGGATATGTACAGCTAAGAAGCGATGAGGCTTGGGTGGGTTCCTGCCGACTCCCAAAGACTGATTTGTATATGGGGCATCACCTACATGCTGACATACATCATCTACTTACTAATGCGATAAGCTTGTGGGGCCTCAGTCTCTGTAAACCTGCCCTCAAGCTTCCCCTGCTTCAAGACCATCTTAGCAATGAATCTCCTCTTGTCTGCTTCAGGTGGGCTTGGTTTGTGTACAGTGCTCCTAGACAAGGGCATTTATTTTATTTGACTTCTTTCATTTATTTGTATATGAACTATTTATTTATGAAAAGAGATAGCATCTTTTGATAACTTTTGGATCTGTTTTGAAAATAGCTATATAAGAATTTTTCTCTTGTTTGGGTACCCAAATGTCATCCTTTTTACTTTCCATACTCTGACTATATTTTATTAAAAATTTCAACACATTTCTAATGTTCTTCTTTTTCTATTGTCCAGGCTGGAGTGCAGTGGAGCAATCTCGGCTCACTGCCATCTCCACATCCCAGGTTCAAGCGATTCTCCTGCCTCATCCTCCCAAATAGCTAGGATTAAAGGCACCCATCACTGGCCCGGCTAATTTTTGTATTTTTAGTAGAGACGGAGTTTCACTATGTGGCTAGGCTGGTCTGGAACTCCTGACCTCAAATGATCCACCTGCAGTGGCCTCCCAAAGTGCTGGGATTATAGGCATGAGCCACCAAGCCCGGCCAATTTCTAACATTCTTAACAAATCCTACAAATTTCTTGTTTTAAAAAAAAATTCTAGAAAGCTTTGTTTTATTTAATCGAATCTTGTTCTCTCTAATGTATGCAGCAGTGAATGGATTTTAAGACAAAACTGCTCTCTGGATTACAAACTTTAACATCTACTTGCTTTTCAAACAACACTAAGTCAAAGAAAATGTAGTAACTTTTATAAAATGAGTGCCTATAACTTCAAAAACGAGTCATTTTTTAGAAGAAAAATTTATTATTTTTTTAAGAGACAGTGTTTTGTTGTGTTTCCCAGGCCGGAGTACAACAGCTATCACAGGCACAGCCCACTACTGATCAGCATGGGAATTCTGATCTGCTCCATCTCCAACCTGGGCTGGTTCACCCCTCCTTAGGCAACCTGCTGGTCTCTGGCTTTCAGGAGGTCGTCATATCAATGCTGACCTTAGTGCAGACATCTGACGGCTATAGTGCCTACAGCCCAGAAGTCCTGGGCTCAGGTCATCCTCCCACCTTAGCCTCCTGAGTAGCTGCAACTACAGACACGTTCCCCCGAGCCCCACCATTGTTAATGTATTTTGGCCAAGACTACTTGTTTACCTAAACGTAAGTGAAGTGGGCAATTTACTACTTACTGTTAATTCATTGATACAAAGAGCAGAAACTGGAGCTCGATGCCCGCGAAGCTGGGTTAGAAATGACAGTTTGTTCAAATCCCAAATGATACAGGTTCGATCCCGGGACCCACTGACAATTATGTGATAGGCTAATGATGCTGTGGCGCAGGTGACGGTATCAGTGTGGCCCAGTAAGGCCTACAAATGAGAACAAACAAACAAAATCAGGTTGATCTCAGTGGCAGGGTTCCACGGCGACTCCAGAAGCTCCTGGATGCATCAGGAAGCAGTGGCATGCATGCTGGGTAGCAGGTGACTCGAGCAGTAGTGTCTGGAGAGTCTGGAAGGCAGACCTCCTTTCTCCTCCTGCTGACTGCCCTTGCCTCAGTCCATGGGGGTAGAGAGAAGTCTGGAGCATTCTGGAGGCTCTTCTCTCTGCTTTCGCATTACTTCTTTCGTGGAGGTGGGCCAGGATCTTAGAAGGAAGAGGGAATGACAACCACAACCCAGCTTGGGTTTCTTTATACTATTTTTATGTAGAGATGTATTGATTATGGGCACCAAAAATACAGAATTTCAACTCTGTATCTATTCTTTTATGCCACAAACTCCTGTTCAGATCATTCTAAGGAATTACAATTGAATGAATTTTTTAAAAAAATGCATAAACTGTGAGAACCACATGGTTATAGCATGTGGTCTACAATAGACAAAGGGAGAATGTAGTCCTGAGGCATCAACATGCCGAAGTCCTGCTGCCAATGGGAGATATCTGAGTATCTGTGCCTGAGAGGAATTCTTTCTTTAAACTTCCCTCTTTTGCTGGAATATGAAGAGAAACAGGACCCAGGGAAATGGCAATGTGTGAAAATAAGTAAATATTCTGAAGAAAAAGATTTAGATTACTGTTAGTAGTTCCTAAGTACTTAGAATGGGCCATCTGTCCCGGCAGAAAAATATATCCACTTAATAATGAGTTGGCTTCATCTGTTGCCTTCCACACTAGGATGTAAGAAGTCGCCTTCTATTGTACATTTGGGGAGAGCCTTGGGTGTAAATCAGTGCAAACTTGGAGGAGAGATTTTTCTATCATGTATAGTAGGTATTTTTTAGAGATTGAAGGTTGATCAATTTTTTAATACTTTCGAGAGAGAAAACTATCTGTGTATACACATGAAATATGTGTGTGTGTGTGTGTGTGTGTGTGTGCATAATATAAAAAAATGAGGTGACTTAAAATTTTGGTCATATAGACATCTTTATTGCATGCTTAGCAAACTCCAGGAAACCATTTTAAGTAGGAAGTCCTTTTTACTGGCACATTACTTTCAAAGTGCATTTTCTAAATGGAAAATATTTTTAAGCAGTATAATTTGGATCAGCAAAATGTACTATTAACCTTGTAATCTGTTCATTTCAAGACTTTCTCCCTCTTTATATGGCTTGCCTTAGGACCCAGCAACTCTGTGAAGTTTCTGGCCTATACAGATGATTCAGTTTTATACTGAACAGGGGTTCAATTTTTTTCTATAGGTATTTATGACACAACTGTTTGAGTTTGGCTTTTAAAATAGCTTTGAAGTCAGACAGAACTTAAATTATAGCTTTACTGGTACATGTGACTTCAGACTTGTGTCTTGACTACTCTAACCTGTGTCTTTTTCAGGGGTAAGATGGGGCTAATAACTACCTTGTAGAATTGTGTGGGCTAGAGTTTTGTATTTGTAGAATACTCAACACAGTCCCCTGAAATAGAGGTGCTCAAGAAATGACAAGTGGTATTGTTACATTATTTTTCAAATTTGTATCATTAAAAATACTTAGATATATGCTCCTTATTTAAAAAAAGTTCTCTCCCAAATAAAATATTACGAAATGGCTTAATTATAAAAGGACTCTTGCTTTAAGTAAAAATTAATAATAGAATCATGTATGTAACAGGCAATCAGAAATACTTGTTAATTAAATCATCGAGGGCTCTATTGAATATATTCATGAGTTTGGCATATCCTTAAGTATATGACAAATGAGAAAAGAGAAAAACAAAGAATAAAGAATTTAGTGGCAGATAAATGGAAATCACCCTGGAAGGAAATTAATGAGTCAATAGCAAACATAATTCAGTTTGCAAAAATTCAATTTGGACTTTTGCATTTATATTACTTAAATACACTGAAATATATGTTACCTAAAGACAACTATCTTCAGATTTTAACAAAGGGACCGGCTTAGATCATTGTTAGAAACACCTTATTCTGATTTCCTTTATTTTTCGAAAAAGTATTTCTAGCAACAGAACGTAACTTTGGTTTTGTCCATTATATCTGAAGTACCTCAGAATTATGGAAGCTTTTTACTTTCTAAAGGGTGTAGGCACAGGAGATGGACTATGTCCCTCTTGGCATTTTCTATGTTCTCTCTTACCTGTTTGAGGGTGAGGGTCTTGGCCTTTTCTTTGGAGGTGCCCATCTCCCACACACACACAACTGTGCTTGTTCCACCCGTGATGACCAGCTTGGGGTTGGGGCAGATTGCACAGAGAATCTGGCCCCACTCAGACAAACATTCATAAACAGTCACAGCCTGTAAAGTAAAATGGATGTGAGACACACATGCGGTTAAGTACTACAAACTTCTGAAACTCAAGGAGCAGAGCTGAGTGGAGATGCAGGCACCTTACTGGCAAATAGCAGCTCATGTTCTGAGCTAGCTTTAGTTCAGAAGCATATCCACTGAATCTCTACCCTGAACTACTCCTACCACCTCCAACTATTGCTGCTGCTGAAAGCCATAACCAAAAAGGACTTTGTTCATAATGGGGGTCTCTGGTTTCTCCAGACTGGGAAAATGATGCTGAAATTGTGTGACCTATGGAAGGTGCAGGGGACAATGTGGCAAAAGGCTGCATTTGCTGTAGATAGAATGTGAAAAGAGAGCGTGACTGCTGCTGTTTAAGGAGAACATCAACAAAATGGAATCGTGTTACAAAACAACATAACAGACTGTGCAGATTGTTTTTGTCTTGCATTTGGGAGGGGACTGTTGGAGGGCAAACACAGGGCACTAAAGGATCACTACAGATTGTCTCTCCAAGAGGTACTTACGGGACCCAAAACAGTTGCTGTTGCTTCTTGTGGGATAGAGCAACAGGTTTTCTGCCAGCTTGTTTGGAGCACTAAAATGAAAAGTGGGCCAGATGGTGACTCATCAAAAGGAGGCTATTCTGGTTGACAGAAATGCTGAGCACCTTGCTGGCTGGGATCTCTCGGAGGAATTCTTTGAGTGAGAAGAAAACTGCTAGCCCCTATTACACAACTTTGCAAAAGAGGCTTGTTCTGCAGGGAACATGACGTCTCTATGAACTCCTTTATCCTGCTCTCATTCAGTGAAGCACTCCTTTCCCCAAATAGGAAAGCTCACTTTTCCTTTGGGGTTTGGAGGAACAGCTGACAAGTCCTTGGACTGGGTACTCCCCAACGCTATTACTCATATAGGATAGCTAGACCACAAAAGAGCAATATTAAATGAGTAGGCAGGAAATAATGCAAACCTTGTCTGACTCATAGGTTCCCAGTCTGCAACTGAGGTCTGCATATCCCCAAGCAAAACTTTTATTCCAGGTTGGTGGGATAAGAACCTTATTCTGTTCCACGGCAAGAATACCTTTATCTGTACATATAATTTGTCCCACAGGTTCTTTGAGTTCTATAAAAAAGAAATCATGGTATTAGGACAGGAACAGGAAAAACTAACGTCATCATCTCATAGAGGATGATAATTTCAAATATTCATATAAATCAAGCATCCTGACACCTACATTGAGACAAAATAATCTCAGAAATAGAGCTGGGCTTTTGAATCTCCCACAAGACCTGCTGGGTGGAATGTTGAACCTAACAGGTCCTCTGCAGGACTTCCCTCCAGTTTTCCTATTTCTGGGCACTCTCTGATTAGGTTACTTACTGTTCAGGTCTGCCTCTCTAGGGTTGTACAGAGTAATCTGGGATGCTCCCCAGAATGTCATAGGGACACAGATGATCAACAAATCTATGTCCTTAGTACTTCCCAAGTCATAGCCAGCCCTTAGACTTCCTCAAGGAAGGTCATGTCATTCCCCAGAGGCACGCACTCCTTGCTCCACACCAGCACTCTGATGACCACATTACTACTCCAGAAAAATCGCCAGGAGTGATTGACGCTGGCACAGAGCAGAGTCTGTGTAATGAGGCCAAATGGCATAGAATGGCACACAAGTTAACCAGACTTTGTTCCAATTCTTGGATATTTTTAAGCGACAACTTCAAGATTTTGCAGAACTTTTTTTTTTTCATTCTAAGGGAAAAAAACTTACCTGAAAAAATATTTTTACATATCCCATTATACCATTAGATAAAAGATAGATGTCTTTTCACTGGCATACTAAAAATACGTTCTTTTAATAATATATCAGATAGGCAGAACATATTTAAATGAGAATGAAATTATGAAGCCAATTTTTTTTTTTTTTTTTTTTTACCTATAAAGTTAAGTTACAAGATTTTGGTATTTTAGAGTTCTGATTATCTTAAAGAGGAGAGAGAAGACTGTTTGGTTCCGATATGAAGTCCAACAAGCCAAAAAAAGAAAACAGAGAAAAAAAAGCAAAAAGAGAAAATATAAATACTAGTAGGTACTTAGTAATTTAACACAAAATCTATGGCACTTATTAAACAAATTATGCTATTGTCAAAAAGCAAATTTGTTATTGTTAAACTGGGATTATTAAATAATCCCATTAAATCACAAATCAAAATTTTATTTCTCATTATTTTACCTTTTACAGGTGTTAGAGAAGGTCTCAAGTTGTCTAGATGATGAAAAAAGATCTTGTCACTTGTAGATCCTGGTAGGACAGAGATTCCTGCATTGTCTCCATTGAGTCGACTTCTCACTCGCTTTGGTGGATGAGGTTTTTTAAATAACTGGTATGAAAGAAGATGACACACTTTATAATGAAAGATCACACTTATAAGCCCTTTTATAAGCCAAGCATTGTGTTCTTATTTCAATTAAGGTTCACAAGAACCAGTAGGTACTATATTATCCTCATTTCACAACTGAGAAAGAGATTCAAAGAGGCTACGAAGGTGGCCAGAGAACTCACACCTGAATAAGCAGGGGCAGGACTATGATACTAAAGCATCGGCTATTGTCTTGTTCTACGCTAAGCTGAATTCACAATAACTTTGTAAAAGAAAGTTAACCTACAGTTGATTGACAGTTATTTTCCAATGATATTCGAAAGTTAACTCTTAGTAGCCTAATACCATTCTGTGCCACTGAAGGCAGGCAGACATTCTATCTAACTGGATTATTTCTGGTTTCAATGTGGCCTTTATGTGATTTAGAAACATCATTTTGGTGTCCTAAAAAGGTGTTACTGATTTGCTGAAAGTGTGAACATTATCATCTTCTTTGTACTCTGCTATGCTGTAAAGGGAAAAAAGAAAATAAAAATGTGCTACATCATCATTCAGTATTTCTATAGGATTAAAAATATTAATGGCTGGGTGAGGTGGCTCATGCCTGTAATCCCAGCACTTTGGGAGACCGAGGTGGGCAGATCATGAGGTCAGGAATTCGAGACCAGCCTGGCCAATATGGCGAAACTCGTCTCTACTAAAAATACAAAAATTAGCTGGGTGTGGTGGCACATGCCTGTAGTTCCAGCTACTTGGGATGCTGAGGCAGGAGAACTGCTTGAACGCAGGAGGCGGAGGTTGCAGTGAGCAAAGATTGCGCCACTGCACTCCAGCGTGGGCAACAAAGCTAGACTCCGTCTCAAAAAAAAAAAAAAAAGTACATTTAAGATTACTATTTTTCAATTATTGTAAATCTTTGAGACAGGCATAGTTTCTGTTGGAAAACTAGTATTTGAGGAGGAGATCTGAAAAACTTTAAAGGAAATGAGATTTAAGATGAATACAACACCATCACACTTTATAAATTAGATATTTGGGGTTTCCAAGAGAAAAAAAACAGAAAAAATTCTTTGTGCAGAGGAAGATACACATTCCAGGCTCTCAAACCTTTAAATGTTTTGTTCCTACTTTATCTACATAATGGACCAAAAGATCAGGCTTCTATAAAGATACATAGTTTTAAAGCACATTCATGAATGTGCATTTACTGAAGCACTTTTATGTGAGGACCTAAGGACAGAGCACTGCGCCAGGCTGCGGGTATATAATGATGTATGGAGATGATGACCATAAAACCTACATTCCTGAGGATGGCCTTACTTGAAAGTACCCTCTATTACTCAATGTATGTCCCAGAAATATGCTGGCATCCAAACGATACTTCCCAGAGTTCTGGCCTCTTCTACTTCAAAGTAGCACAAAAATCCTGCAACAGTGCAAGTGTCTTGATTTTTATGTTCAGAATATGTATTTCCCCTAGGGTATGAAAAATGGCTCCAGCCCTTGTAACTCTCAGGAAAAAGAACAAAGTTAACTAAATAAAGGTATAGCTAATATTCGTCAACTGTGAATAGTTTATCAGCAAGTATTTTGCTTTAAAAAACACGGCCAGGTGCCATAGCTTATGCCTGTAATTCCAGCACTTTGGTAGCTCAGGTGTGAGGACTGCTTGAGTCTAGGAGTTCGAGGCCAGCCTGGGCAACACAGTGAGACTCTATCTCTATAAAATAAAAATAAATAAAAATAAAAGTAAACATGTTTCTTTTATGAGGGGATCAGATTGCTAGGTGATCAGACTGCATTGTGAATGGTACAGTTATAGCATGTCCTGCTATCTATTATGGCTTTTCTATATAAAGAGATGTGTCATTGTTTTGTGTGTTCTCAAGTGTCAACCCTGGAAACCTCAAGGTCAGTTAACCTACAAAAAGGGAGTCCACAGAGACGTCTAAAGCAGGAACAGAGAAGGCAGCCAGAATCAAAGTAGGAGCCACTGGTACTTAGTAAAGGTGGGTGGTCTGACCAGCTCGTCAAAGTGTGCCTTCACACTGTGGGGAGGTGCTGCAGTTACTACTGGTGCACCCAGCCCTCCTGCCATACCTCGGACAATGGCGATGAGAGAAGGGATGAGGTCTCTTCAGGGAGGTCTGCTCATCGCTGAAGAGGAAATAGGCCTACAGTATCTGGGTGCTGAAAGGCTTAGATCTTGGTCTTCCTCTCCAAGTTTCAGAAGGTGGTGAGGGCAGCTATTGCATGTCCTAGGCATTCCTGTGGCACGTGCTCTCACAGCACAGCACTTATGCCTATGTCAACAATCTAACCCAATCCAACATCATCTGTTCCCTGAACTACTACAATAGCTTTCTTAATGGTCTTCTGCTCCCCATTTGGGTCCCCAGCAGAGTGTGTGTGTGTGTGTATGTGTGTGTGTGTGTGTGTGAGACAGACACACAGAAAAAGAGAGAGAGACAGAGAGAGAGACAGAGAAAGAGAGAGAGAGAGTGTGAGAGAGAGAGAGAGAGAGGTGCGCATAGAGTAGTTTATTCTGACTGAGACCAGAATGAACTTCTAAAGTTTAAATATGACCATGTCATTTCTCTGCCTAAAATCAGCACTGGTTTCCCACTGGCCTCCAGACAAAACCTCATCTCTGTGTATGTGGCCTATAAGGCCCCTCCTGTTATGTCTTATGGAGGTTTAAGAAAGCACACCCTGCATTAGTCTGTAGGGGATAATTCTCTTTAAACAAAATTTTTATTTATTTGGAGTGTGAGAGTGAGAAAAAAAGCAACAATGTAGGAATCTATTGAAATACTAGGTGATATTTACGGCTGTTTATTAAGTTAATCTAAACTTAATTATTTTGTGGTCATCCACAGTCTAGAGAAATGTTACAAAATTTACAAAATGAAACAGAGTACATCAATCATAAAAAAAGAACATCCATACCTGTTTAGGGATCTGACCGAAGTTATTAATGAACCCAATTGTGGCTGTCTCCTTTAGTGGGTCATTGATGTTGTAGATATCCACTTGACCCTCATAAAAAAGATGATGGAAGACATTTACAGCTTCTACTGCAGCAGGGCCTTGCTGTTTATACCCGAAGATTAAGTCAATCCACTCATGTAGATGGGCACTCACATAATCACACTCCAAAGCCTATAATTTCAAACACAGATTTAGTCACTGGCTGACTTCTATTACTTGCTCAGAGACTAGAAAAACCTTGGTAAGTGGTTAATAGGAACAAAAATAACTAAAAATCATAAAAACAACATAGTAGTTCCCTCTTATTTGTGGTTTCGCTTTCTGAGATTTCGGTTACCTGCAGTAAACCATGGTTTGAAATTATTATATTTATGAGAGTGAGAGAGAGAGATATCACATTCACATAGCTCTTAGTATGCTGTTATGATTGTTCTATTTTATTGTTATTATTCTTAATCTCTTACTATGCCTAATACATAAATTAACCTTTATCAGATGTATAGGAAAATACATAGTTTATATATACATAGGGTTTGGTACTATTCCTGGTTTCAGGCATCCACTGGGGTTCTTGGGATGTGTCCCCTGTAGATAAGGGGGCCTGGCTGTGTTAGTAACAAACAGGTGATACTCTGCTAGAGGCCCTGTCTTTGTATTATGTTCAATGACCAAATGAAATCCAACTTCAATTGCAAATTCCATCCATTACCTCACGATGGACTCTGATGAATTCTCGTGGGTCCCCTTTTGCCCAGGGTGGAAGGATAACATCTCCAAGCTTGGTGCCATTTTGTTTACAGCCTATGCAATTATATACATTAAAAAATAAAAAAAAAAAGAAAGAATGGGATAAATGGTTAACTTTATATTATTCTGACAGACAAATGGTGGGTTAGATTCATTACCAGAACACTGAAATTGTACACCAGAAAGGACTTCAGAGATTATCAATCTAGCATCCCTCAAGGTTGCTCCTCAGATCACTCCAGCAGAAACAGGTACTAAGTCAGCAAAACTGAGGCCCTCACTGCCAATGTCTTCAGGAAATGCTGAGTTATACAAAGTGAAACATGCTTCTTTCTGCAGAGTCTTGAGGGCAAGACTCCTCAGAGGTTTCATATGCTAACATGCACTGCCCTTCTCTAAGAGGGATATCGAATACAAAATGTCTGAAATTTAATTGACCACGGGACTCCTTTTCAGTGAAACATTTTGCAGGGTTACTGTTTTGAATCTCCTGGAAACAGTCTCCTAGAGATATCTGCAATACAAGAGGTTTATCATATCGCTGACTCTTACGTTCTCAAAAGAGCTCTGTAGAACTGGCATGTACTTTGCAGTAAGCATTCTCATTTAAAAAGTGAAATCTGAAATGACATAACTTTTTGCTGTTATTGCATCATTTAACAGAAAAAATATTTGGAAAAACTACAGGGCTACCAAAAACAAAAAATAACATGTTGTGATAAAACACATAAATAACATTTATTCCATATAAACTTATTTTAAGTGATAGCCAGATAATTTCTAAAATACAAAAGAAACCATTCGCTATGAAATCTATCCACATCAAAATATATTAAATTTGGCTGCATCTAAGCAAAAAGGTTGTTTTTCTTTTTTTGAAATATACCAAAAAAGTCACTTTAGCTTACAGAGTTTTTATAGGTACAAATCAGATTATCATTGTAAAAATGACTTTACAAACAACAATGTTGACTCACTAGTTTAATAGCAGTTGGTTAGGTAAATACTCGTGTTGGAAATTTTCATACAGAAATGCAGTTGTTCAAATTTTAGAACACAAAGCCCATTCCAAGTAAAAGCAAATAAAATATTTCCCTTAGATACAATCTTGCCTTTAGCATTGCTAGTTGATGGTTTATTGACAACGTGATATTAAGTGAGTGGTGCAAATATCAGTTTACTCTTTAAAGGAATGTCTTGACTTGGTTGGAAAGGTTACCATATGATTTAAGACAAAGATAAATCAAGTTATTACAACCCTTCCTCCTCAACCATACACACTGCACATTCTGTGCTGAATCCCCCTGAAATGCCCAATAGGCCTAATTTTTTGGTAATAATAAACAGGTAAAAAGGCTACTTGAGAAAGAAATTACTTTTCAAAATTTTGCTATAATCCTTGAACACTTATTTGATAGAATTTTATTTTATGAACACTATATGCAATTTTAAAATGACATATAAAGGTAACACAGTCTGTAGGAAAGCCTTTGTCTAATTCTTTTACTTTTTTTTTTGAGATAGGGTCTTGCTCTGCTGCCCAGGCTGGACTGCAGTGGTATAATCATGACTCACTTCAGCCTTGAGCTCCTGGCCTCACGTGATCCTCCCACCTCAGTCTCCTATGTACAGGCACGTGTCATCATGCCTGGCTAATTATTTTATTTTGAAGGGATGAGGTTTTGCTCTGTTGCTCAGGCTAATTTTGAACTCCTGGCTTCAAGTGATGCTCCCACCTTGGCCTCCCAAAGTGCTTGAATTATAGGCAAGAGCCAGCGCCTGGCCCTTAATTTTGCTCTTCTGAAGCTCTCCTCCATGTGTATCCAAGGATATATGGACAAGAAGACCCCAGGGTGAATATTACTTATCTCATAGCAAGGGGAAAAAAAAATCCAAGTGCTTTTTCTTTCTTTCTTTTTTTTCATTTGACACAGAATCTTGCTCTGTTGCCCGGGCTGGAGTGCAATCGTGTGCTCTTGGCTCACTGCAACCTCTGCCTCCTGGATGAGTCTTATGCCTCAGCCTTCTGAGTAGCTGGGATTACAGGCACACACCACGATGCCCAGCTAATTTTTGTATTTTTAGTAGAGATGAGTTTTCACCATGTTAGCAAGGCTGGTCTCGAACTCTTGGCCTCAAGCAATCTGCCCACCTCAGTTTCCCAAAGTCCTGGGATTACAGGCGTGAGCCACTGCGACCGGCCCCAGGTGTGTTTTCTTTTACACCATTTACTATCTTTTCTGTGTGAAGAGGCAAACTGTGTTTTTTTTTTTTTTTCTATTGGGGTGAAATTCACATAAAGTCAACCATTTAAAGTGAACAATTCAGTGGCATTTAGTTCAGACACAATGTTATGCAACCATGATTTCTATCTAGTCCCAAAGCATTTTTATCACCCCAAAAGTAATCTTGTACCCGTTAATCAGTAGCTACCCGTATTACTTTCACTCCAGCCCCAGAACACCAATCTGTGTCCTGTCTCTGTGGACTTACCTATTCTGAGTATTTCCTATAAATGGAAATGTAGAAGATGTGACAGTTTTTGCCTGGCTTCTTTCACTTTGTATAATGTTTCTGAGGTTCAACCACATTGCAATATTTATTAGTGCCTCATTCACTCTCATGGACGAATAATATTTCATTGTATGTATGTGCTACAACTGGTTTATCCACTCATCACTTGGTAGACATTTGAGCTGTTTCTGCTGTTTGGTTATTGTGAATAATGCTACTATGAACACGTTCATACACATACTTAATTGAGTTGCGTTTTCAATTCTATATACCAAGGAGTGGAACTGCTGGGTCATATGGAAATTCTGTTTAACTTTTTGAGGAACTGCCAAACTACTTCCCACAGTGGCTAAACCATTTTATACAACCACCAGCAACGTATGAGGGTTCTAATTTTTCTATACCTTTGCCAGCCCTTGTTATTTTTCAGTTCCCCCCACCCCATTATGGTCATCCTAGTAAATATGAAGTGGTATCTCACTGTGGTTTTCATTTGCATTCCCCTAATGACTAATGATGTTGAGCATCTTTTCATGAGTTCACCAGCCATTTGCATAACTTATTTGGGAAATTGTCTATTCAAGTCCTTTGCCCATTTTCCAACTGGGTTGTTTGTCTTTTTGTTGTTGAGTTATAAGGGTTGTTTATATTCTGGATACTAGATCCTCATTAGATATATTATTTGCAAATATTTTCTTCCATTCTATAGGCATCTATTCATTTTCCTGATAACATTCTTAGATGCAGAAATTTCTAATTTTGATTAAGTCCAATTTATCTTTTGTTGTTGTTGCTTGTACTTTTGATATCATATTTAAGAATCCATTGCCAAATTCAAGATCATGAAGATTTACCCCTATGTTTTCTTTTAAGAGTCGTATGACTTTAGGTTTTATATACAGTGTTTTGAAGTGTTTTGTTTTTGAGACAGGGTGTCAGTTTATCACCCAGGTTGGAGTGTAGTGGCATGAACATAGCTCACTGTATCCTCGACCTCCTGGGGTAAAGTGATCCTCCCACCTCAGTCTCCTGAGTAGCTGGGATTATAGGTGTACATCACCACGACCAGCTAATTTTTGTATTTTTTGTAGAGATGAGGTTTTGCCATGTTGCCCAGGTTGGTCTTGAACTCCTGAGCTCAAGTGATTCACCTGCCTTGGCCTCCCAAAGTGCTGGGATTACAGGTGTGAGCCACCATGCCCGGCTCAACCACTGTTTTTTAAAGTATGCTATTTCAAGGAGGGAAGATAATTTGTTATGAGGGTAAACATAACAAAGATACATCCTCCTTTTTTTATATTTACTTATTTTAAAAGTAGATTGGTTGGTTGGATTTGTAAGTGGTCTGTCTGGAACACCTTTGCAACATGGATTATCATAACTGATAGACATTTCTGGAAGATTATGAGCTATCTCTTTCTGCACCTCTCCATATTTGTCTCTTTGACAGTGGTATCCCTGGGGAAGAAGGCAATATTCTCCAAAGTTGAATTATAAGTGAACATAAGAAAACACTAATGTGGCTGTCCGTGGCGGCTCACGCCTGTAACCCTTGCACTTTGGGAGGCTGAGGTGGGTGGACCACTTGAGGTCAGAAGTTCAAGACCAGCCTGGCCAACATGGGGAAACCCCGTCTCTACTAAAAATATGAAAAAGAATTAGCCAGGCATGGTGGCGCATATAATCCCAGCTACTTGTGAGGCTGAGGCACGAGAATTGCTTGGACCTGTAAGGTGGAGGCTGCGGTGAGCAGAGATTATGCCACTGCACCCCAGCTTGGGTGACAGAGCAAGACTCTGTCTCAAAAAAAGAAAATGCTAATGTGCATTCATAGTCAAAGGCTATAGCAGGTATTTGTTGATTGTCATTGTTGACTATCTATTCTATTCTTTTGGGAAAACTCATCACTTTCTCTAATTCTAAGCCCTAAAGTTGTGTCTTTAGCTGCTCAAGGGTGAGCTCTAGGCATAACTGGAGGTAATAAAATCAATTTCAGGACGTTTCCTGGGGCTCTGGAGAGAGTCTTGTTATCTTCCCCATTAGATCCCATTTCACAAAGGTAGAGTTGCTGATGGACAATTAAATATACAAAAATTATCTTTAGCAATTATCTTCCATATATATAGGATACAAACACTTCCCTGTATTTTCTGTTCATGAAAATTTGGAGGTAGTACAGTTATAATTTCTGTGCTAACTCTTATAAAACAGTAGCAAATACAAAGAATGAAAAAATATAAAACAACAAATATCTGGCAGGAATACTCTAACATGAAAACAATGGAATTCTGATATGCTTTAAAAGAAATACTCAGAAGCACAGATCAGCAAACTGTGTTCCAATAAACTGTAACCAAAGTCAAATCCACTTCCTCTAACAGCCAGATAATATAAAAACAGCACTGATGAAGTTTTTCTTGTTTTTGTAAGTGCTGATTTGGTCCTGTTTTTCTAGAAAATAGAGCCCTTACAGGATAAAGAAAAGGGATTTACTTAAAGTTATTCTGAAGTTCTAATTTTAAAACACATTAGCATATAAACCAAGAATATATTAGGCAATAAACGAGATTAAAACAATATGTGAAAAATTCGGATATACCACTCTTAGCTATTAATGGGTTTCAATAGTAATATTTTTCAAATAAATTTTCACTTCACCTTTGTTTTCATCAAAACAACAAAATTCTAAATGTTGGAAGTAATCTGTCTCAATATTTATTTATTTAGAGACGGAGTCTCACTCTGTTGCCCAGGCTGGAGTGCAGTTCATGATCTCGGCTCACTGCAACCTCCACCTCCCAGGTTCAAGCAATTTTCCTGCCTCAGCCTCCTGAGTAGCTGGGATTACAGGTGCTCACTACCATGTCCAGCTAATTTTTGTAACCTCAAAAATGACATGTAACCACACCCAGTTATAGCAAATGACTGCAAGAAACTATAACGAAATTTTTTTCTTGTTAATGTGTGCTGCAGACAATCTTTAGAAAAGTGACTTATTTCTATTGGGCTTTTCCTGGCTGACATTCCTAAGACAGTCCACAGCTCTACGTACCTAGATCGAAGTTGTTGGAATTGAATAGGAATTCTGGTAAATAAAAGAACTCTGGAATAAGTTCTTTTACATCTGCCATGTTGTGCTTCGATGCTGAATACCAGGCCTCGCGCACACTGTGAAACATCCGGTCAGCCAGGTCAAAGTGGCCACCCTGTGGGCAGAATGAGAAGACACCTCTCTATTACAGAACCATTCCCACCTGACAGCTTCTATCAAGTTCAAGAGCTTGAAAACTCCAACTATATTTGGTGACATTTCAATTTCTCATTATCCTACATTAAATGCACAAAATTTTTTAATAAACATGAAACATCTATTTCTCTTTGGGGCAATCCTTACAGAGGGTTCTCTCCACATTTGTTTTATAATCAAACTGAAAATCAAATGTAAAGATTTTAAAAAGTCATCCAAAAAACAGTAGATCTTAAAGAGAGGACAAGGCTGTAAGAAATATAAGTTCTTCCATAGTTTGATGATGCCATCACAAGAAAAGATTCTAAAGTAAATCATCTACAGTTGGAAACATTCAAATTACGTTTTGAATGTTTTTTGCATAAATTAACATGATATGCAAGTTCTCATACTAATGAGAATTAAATGGAGAATTAGAAAAGGTGATCGGTTACAGACTGATAAAGCAAATTAAAACTAAAATAGAAAAGGGATATTTTTGACTACACAGCCTCAGGTACACTACCCATCTTCTTCAGTAAAGCCCCCCATGCTGCTATGTTTTAAGTGAACACGGTGTACCTGTCTTATGATGCTCACTGTGGGAAAATGCCAAAGTCCATGCCATGGCTGCCAAGGCCTGCCATACAATGTAGCCCCTGTTTCCTTGTTGACCTCTTCCCTTACAACTAACTTTCCTCCTTACTTACTCTATTCTGGACACACTGGCCACTGGGCTGCTCCTCAAACATGTCAGACACAAGCCTGCCTTAGAGCCCTTGCACAAGCTCTTCCCTCTGCCTGGAACATGTATCTCCAGATATCTGCAGAAGCAACACCCTTACCTCCTTTAGACTTTTTTTCACAGGAGACCTACTCTGATCACTCTACTTAAAACTGCATCCCACCCTGCCCAACCTCCTGTTCTCTCCACCTCCCATCCCCCTTTCCGGACCTATATCTTTCTGATAGCTTTTATCACATTCTAAAACACCTTACAGTTTTCTTATTTTTGATATTTGGCTGTCTCCTTCAACTGAAATACATAAACTGCACAGGTAAGGCTTTTCTCTTTATTAATTGAAGTCCTCCCAAGTACCTGGAACAGTGCCTGGCACACAGTAGGTATTTATTAAATATGTGCTAAATAAATGAAAGAGAATGTCCAGAAAAGCAATCATAATCGAGGAAACAGAGAATGAGCTGGAATATATCATGTTTTTGTAAAATAAAAATTGTTTAATTCAACCAGTTAGGGCTGGTTGAAAAATGTATGCTACTTATGTATTTGATTAAAGGATGCTGGCACTTATTTGTTCTAAGCGAATTGTAGTTCATTATCAATTTTGGTCCAACAAAATTCTACTTTAGTTATGTAACTACTTTGTCATTAAAACTTCACAGAGCTTCTTATAATGGAAGATAATGGTATTTTAAAAGGTGACATTTTAGATAGAAGAGGCTAGTATAAAATAGAAAAACCTCCAATTTAAAGTTTTACCTGTAGCCTTAAGAATATCTGTGTGAAAGGCTCCATCCTCACAAGGTATGAGGCCACAATCATTGCAGATGAATAGTGGGTCCCATAGTGGTATGCGGGAGTTTCTCCTGTTTAAGAAAATTAAAGCATAATTGAAACCAAAAGAAGAAATATGAAAAATAAAATCAGTATTACTTTATGTTTGAAAATAATAGCCCATGTGATAACTGTGACACTAAACGCAGTTAGTACTGGCATTTTCAGCAGGAAAACTTCATGATGACACCACTATCCCTCTCTTCTATATTTGACAGTAGTCCAAATTAAGTATAATTCAATGGCCTATTCCCACAAACTTAGTATGTCTACCAATTTCATGTTTTGAGGCTTACTATAATAGTTAACCCTTAATAGTAGACCATCTTCCACTAAAGCAGGATATGCACTTATAGTTACTTTTTTATTAGGTTCTGGCTTTGCAATTACATATTTCTCTAAATCGTTGTTTATGAATATCAAGCACTTTTTATGTATTTTTACTACATATTCTCCTCGGCAGAGAGGGGGAACAAAAAGCTTAGGCTTTCTTTCTCCTTTGTTTTGCCTTTTTGAGGGAGAAACACAATAAACATTAAACATAATAAATAACAAGTAAACTATATAATTTTAGAATATAGTCATTTTTTTTTAAATGCAAAAGGGTTCTAAAAATTGCCTCAATAAAATTAAAGAGAGACAATAAATTAAAGTGTGGTTCCTGGACTAAATATGATTAGAGACAGAGGCAGATTATGATGAGAAATTTCTGTCCTATGCAAAGCAGGAATACTTAGTTTTTCACCAATACTCTAATAAGCTATTTAAAATGCCTTCTAAGCATGGCCACAAGTTGGCATGCAAACCTGATTCCTCTGCTATAATAATCTGCATATATGTGTGGACATATAATGTATATAGATATGATATATAAGAAATTTGAAGGAGGATGTGAGAATGTCAGACCGCTACATAATGACTTACTTTTGAAACTTGGGTAAAAGGTCCAATGACAGAAAAAGTTCCTTACCATTAGGATCCTCCCAGTCTTTATATCGCTTCTTATACTGAGCTAATCGTTCATCTGTTTGTGCTCCCATTGGCTTAGCCAGGTTTCTAAACGTCTTGGGATTAGTAAGATCCACCTCCTAAAATACAAAATGTAACTCAATTTCAAGTTACTATACACTATCTAGCCTCACTAACGTAGATACAGTGGCTACAGTGGACGATGATGATTTATAAACACACTAGTATCTATGGGGTCAAGCTGGCGTAACTGGACTCCAAAATAATGTTATGTATGTACTGTTTATCCACACTTTACAGACAGGCACATGGGAGTTGGTTAACCGATTCAGTTGGAAGATAAGTGCTTTGGAAATTATGTGTTTCATAGGGAAAGCCACTAAGGATCCAGGTTTAGGGGATGAGGATTAAGAGGGAAAATGCTTCCAAGTCTTGGCAAGGACCCAGCAGGAGACTGTGGACACAATAGCTCCAATTCATCGTTAACCTCATCACTCACATAATTGGAGGATCAGATCTCCCTTCTGTGTCCTCCCTCCTTCCACCCCCACCCTGTCTCCCTCCAATGTTACTTCTGAGCATTTTCTTCTCAGAGGTGATCTGGAACTGATATAAACTAGAACACTCAGTAATTCTTTCACCTCTAAAAGATAACATTACACCAGATCAAGTAACTTCCCAATGAGACGGATTCTTCTAGTTTACCAGAGATTACTTTACAAGTTGATGAGTTGACCTAATTCATATATTTAAAAGGAAACTAAAATTTACTCCCTGAGGATTTTGAAAGTAGAAATTTGAAATATGTGCCCGTGGCATATTTGTGTCCTTTTTATAGGACATCATGAATAACCAGTTTTGCCAAACTTTTATTTTTAAAAATCTTGGGCAGGAGAAACTGATCTACATTTCTGAATGTAAGTCAAGTTAGCGTATTTGTTATCTCAAAGTTTATATGTAAAGTACCTCGTTTATATTTTCTGGTTAATTCAACAAATGTTAAAGTATGTACAAAGTGCCAGGCATCATCCTATTGGCTGAGAGTTGAGAGAGACATAAAATGGTCTGTGTGCTCAAGGACCTTGACCCTATGATTACTGCAGGACTATGCTGTAAAAGAAAGCTCCATGATTCAAATGGTGGGAAAAAAACCCAACATAGGTACCATATTATACAACTATAGGGCAGTGTGGGAATAGAAGGGAAAGGAGAAAAAGAACAGAAGGGTCCACATCACAGGACTGGTACTTGAGTGTTTCCTGAAGGATGAAGTGGAGTTGGTCAGTTGAGTTAGTTGGTGGAGAGAAGAAATGCACGATGGGCACCGGGCAGGTCAGGCTGTGTGTGAAAAGCCACTAAATTACAGAAGAGGGATCTGGGGTGCCCCACGATAGCTGTTCTGGGAGGACATGAGGAATATATACACAGGAGCTACAATGAAAAGGTTGCTATAGTGAGGATTTTCAACTCTCTCCCAAATTATGACGGTGATTCACTGAATAATTTTATTATTTATTTATTTTTACTTCATTATTATTATTATTTTTTTTGAGACAGCTTCTTGCTCTGTTGCCCAGGCCAGAGTACAGAGGCACACTCTCAGCTCACAGCAATCTCCACCTCACCAGCTCAAGTGATCCTCCCCTTTCAGGCTCCTGAGTAGCTGAGACTACAGATACTTGTCACCACGCCTGGCTACTTTTTTGTATTTTTTGTAGAGATGGGGTTTTCCGTGTTGCCCAGGCTGGTCTTGAACTCCTGGACTCAAGCAATCTGCCCTCCCTGGCCTCCCAAAGTTCTGGGGTTACAGGTATAAGTCACAGCACCTGGTCACTGAATGATTTTAAACAGGGGGATGACTCAATTAGTGTTCCTGAAACTGGCTGCAGTGTAGAAGGCATAGTGAAGGAAGGAGAGACTAGAGCATTAAGCCCAGTTAGGAGGCTGCTGCAACAGTTCAATAGAAGATGCAGAGGGCCTGAAATGAGACACTAGGTACGCTGATGGAGACAAAGGTAGAAATGCCTTGGCCACTGAGCAGACATGGACAGTAGGAAAATAATTTCCAGCCTGTAAGACAGCATGGATGATGGTGCCACTTCCTAAGATGGGGAATACACAGTGAGGGTCAGAACTGCATCGGGAGAACGAGGTAGAGAATTGAAGGTTCAGTAATGGGACCTGTCATGTTCATGTGAGATACATATTCAAATATGGGTTGACAAAGTTCTCCACTCCCTTCTCAGAAAACCACATTTCTTTTGGACTTCCTGTCTCTTTAAAAATCTACACTTTCTTTCTAACTTTCCTTGATGGACTTAAAGAAAAAATATTTTCACTTAACAATCTTTACTCCTGATCTCTTCTTTTCCTTTTGTTATTTATGTATTATGCATTAGGTATGCAAATTAACTATACAAGCAAATATATAGATTCAAACATCAAATACACTAACGTACGTCCATGCATAAAGGGTGGATTTCCTTTCATTCTTTCATTAGACCAACATTTTCTGAGGATAGAAGCTTTATCCTTTTTAATATATTGATGTATAAAATTTCTGAAAGGATAAGCAGCCATGATTCTAGTGAATAAGAAGGTCTAATGAATTTCTGAATTTTAAAAACAATCTTTTTGGTTGTTTACCTAGGGCTAAGTGTCTTTTGTTTTGCCTGCTACGGTTCATTTCCAAAATAATCAGATGTCTATCAGACAGGAGGTAAAGGAAGAGAGGAATCAAAACATTCATATGCTTCTATCTGCTCTTGATTTTGAGACTTGTCAGGTACATGTTGAATTGTTGGAAATCTTCTCCCAAGGCTTTCTGGAATAGTATAAAAAATTTCTTTTATGTGGCAGTAATGTTTTGTAGAAGGGTTACTTTGTGTTTTCCTAACAAACACTTCAAACTACACAGATGGATTTTGATATCCACCAATAGATGCAAATTAATCAGCACTTAAAAAAACTGAATAGATATTATGAATTAATGGCCAGTACTCAATAAGTTGGTCAATTATCCAAACTTTTTATATGTCTGTGCTAAATGCTTCTCATCTATTTGAATTAAGTGCCTGTGCCTATTGAGAACATTAAACTACAAACCAAATAAAACATTTAGGCAACTGCAGTTTTTTTTTTTTTTTTCTTGTCAGAGACACAGTCTTGCTTGGTAGGTCACCAAGTCTGGAGTGCAGTGGCGCAATCTTGGCTCACTGGAGCCTCCATCTCCTGGGCTAAAGCAATCCTCCCACCTCAGCCTCCTGAGTAGCTGGGACAACTGGGGTTTGGTACCACACCTGGCTAATTTCTGCAGTTTTAGTGGAGACAGGGTTTTGCCATGTTGCTCTGGCTGGTCTTGAAATCCTGGGCTCAAGTGATTTGCCTGCCTCGGCTTCCCGAAGTACTGGGATTTTAGGGATGAGCCACTGCACCCTGCTTCAATTGTAGCATTTTAAAATTATTTTTGAAAATGTGTTCTACTAAGATTTACCTCTGAGTCGTAATCTGCAAGGATCCAGGGGAAGACAGGATACTGCATGAGATCATTATATGATCTGCCAGCCAAAGTGTTCAAATGCATCAAATATTGGAAGTTGCTGATTTCACCTCTCTGGAAAAAGATGAATATTCATTTTTGAGCAATCAATGATTTCCACTATGTTCAGCTTTTAAAATTTTATATGCAAAATGATGTAAAGGACAAATTCTTTTTAACAGATTTCAGAACAATGAAATACTTTTTTTTTCTAAAAAGAATGAAAATAAAACATTTTCTCTATGGTATATATTTTATGGATAATTAAAGTGCTTTTAACTGTATGACTTCTTCTAACTACAAACTTCTAAGGAAGCTCATATATTCATTAAACTTACCTCCCATCTCTGAGTCACAGACTTCTCTCCAACCAAAGTGCTAAGCAACCCAGATCTAAAAGCAATACATAATACAATAAATTAGAAGCAATAAAATTTTAAATCTGAAAAATTATAAAGTTGAAAAATTTAAGTCATCTGGTCCAGGAATTTTTCAAACTGTGGAGGATCTATTAGTGGGTCATAAAATCAGTTTAGTGGGCTGTGATCAGCATTTTGAAATATGAAGTAACATAGAACTGAATTGAAGAAAACAGAGGACATCAGAAGGCATCACATACCTTAAGGGAAAGTATTTTTTTGTGAATTTTGTTTGAGTATTTATAACTCCATTTATGTGTCTTGGGATGAATGTAATATATATTTTTTACTCTAGGTCATATTCAAAAGAGTTGGAAGAACACTGATCTAGTTCAACTTTTTTTTTTTTTTTGAGATGGAGTCTTGCTCTGTCACCCAGGCTGGATTGCAGTGGCATGGTCTCGGCTCACTGCAGCCTCTGCCTCCTGGGTTCTACTGATTCTCCTGCCTCAGCCTCCTGGGTAGCTGTGATTACATGCACTCACCACCACGCCCAGCTAATTTTTGTATTTTTAGTAGAGGCATGGTTTCACCATGTTGCCCAGACTGGTCTCGAACTCCTGACCTCAGGTGATCCTCTCACCTCAGCCTCCCAAAGTGCTAGGATTACAGGCGTAAGCCACAGTGCCTGGCCTTCTTTTTCTTTTTAAAACTATTTTATAATTTATTTTTTGTAGAGATGGGGTCTTGGTATGTTGCCCAGGTCGGTCTCAAGATCCTGGCCTCAAATGATCCTCCTAACTCGGTCTCCCAAATTCTTGGGACTAGAGGCATAAGCCATACTCTAACCATAGTCTTTCTTATTTTTACTATAATCACTAAGCAAACAGATCCAAGGATACTTAATTAGAATAACTGAAATATTATATAATACTTTGTACACAGTACGTACATAATACATTAAATAAGTGAATGAAAATATGAATATTGTATAACAGGAAAGTCACTGGTGTCCAGGCCATTTGAAATTTAAGCATTACTTTTTTGGGGACAGCAGACTTCCTTAAAATGTTATAAAATCCTATTTAAGGTTTATCAGCTTTATAATATTGATAATTAATAATTGGTCATGGAACCAGGAGAAAGTATTTATATGTTTTATTTTCTGAAAGGAAATTAATACATTTGTAAACCTTAGGTCCTAAACACATCCAGCTCGATGGTACTATTTTCCACTTTGAGATAGTCTTTCCATCAGGCAAACTGAATGCACAAGATACTCTCTTTGGAAAAATAGCCATGATCACTCTTCAACATCGTAAGAAAGGGAACAACTGAAATGGAAGACTAAAGTTGGAAAAGAATTTCTGTTTCTTGCCTCTGAGCTCTTAAAAGTTCTTTAACAACTGCCAACTCAGCACAGGAAGTAGCAAGAACAAAGAAATAGCAAGTTTAAGATTATCTAGGAAGCAGTAACAGTTTGCTTACAAGTAGAAAAAAGGCTCATTATGTTTTTAAGGAAATTTTTCACTTCCTGTATTTATGTTAACAACAACACAAATGATTAGGAGCAGAACATGTTTCTGGGGTTAACAAAAGCATGTATTTAGCATTGTATTTGCTAAGGCTTGGCTATAAAAAAATAAAAACAAAACTTAAAGAGAAATACGCAACATATATAGAGGCACACAGATTGGAATCAAATTTTATTTACAAATTACATAATCTCTAGAACTTTCAAAAGTCATTTTCTTGCATGCTCTAATAATTAATTTACAGCCCCAAAGCACTGCTTCTTTCCAGTGGATTATAAAAGGCTACCACTTATTGAGTGATGTAAATGGAGCTGGGTCTATGGATTCTTGAAATGGCTATGTCATCTAGAATGCATCGCTAACATGAAATGCGGCTATAAAGAGCATAAAGGAATCACTGACAGTTCAGAATACACAAAAACAGAGGTTTAAATGTAAATGTCAAAAAGCAAAATTTAGAGGAAAACTGGGAAATCTGCAACAAATACGACAAGCAAAGGAGTAATAACTTATGGTAGAAAAATCCTACACAAATTAATAAGATCTCAAAGGAAAAACAGGCAAAAGATATGGACAATTTACAAATAATGATTCTAAATGGCTAATAAACATATACAGAGCTCATGCTTACTAATAATCAAAGAAATATACATTTAAAAAATGAGAAAACATTTTATAAAATCAATAAAATAAAAAAATTAATATACAGGCCAGGTGTGGTGGCTCACGCCTGTAATCCCAGCACTTTGGGAGGCCGAGGTGAGTGGATCACAAGGTAGGGAGTTCGAGAGCAGCCTGGCCAATATGGTAAAACCCCATCACTACTAAAAATACAAAAATTAGCCGGGCATGGTGGCGCACACCTGTAGTCCCAGCTACTTGGGAGACTGAGGCAGAAGAATTGCTTGAACCCGGGAGGCGGAGGCTGCAGTGAACTGAGATCATGCCACTACACTTCAGCCTGGGCAACAGAGCAAAACTCCGTCCCAGTAATAATAATAATAATAATGATAATAATAATAATAATAATACACAAAGTTAGCAAGTAGCTATTGAGACAAACTTATCCACTAATAGTACAATATAAACTTGTATAGTTTTTATGAATATCAAGTTGGTTTTGTGTATCAAGAGCCTTAAAATTCCTACTCTTTGTTTTATTAAGGGGACTCTACCACAATAAAATAATGAAGAATCATAGCCGGGCGTGGTGGCTCATGCCTGTAATCCCAGAACTTTGGTGGGCCAAGATGGGCGGATCCCTTAAGGCCAGGAGTTTGAGACCACCCTGGCCAACATGGCAAAACCCCTTCTCTACTAAAAATACAAAAATTAGCCAGGCATGGTAGCACATACTTGTAATCCCAGCTACTCGGGAGGCTGAGAACTGCTCAGCCTGATGCTGAGAATCGCTTGAGCCCAGGAGGCAGAGGTTGCAGTGAGCCAAGATCACCCCATTGCACGCCAGCCTGGGTAACAGAGGGAAACTCTGTCTCAAAAGAAAAAAAAAAAAAAATAATAATAATGAAGAATCACATTTCCAGTCTTATGATAAGAAAACCTGATAAACACCAGGCGCGGTGGCTCACATCTGTAATCCCAGCACTTTGGGAGGTCGAAGCGGGCAGATCACCTGAGGTCAGGAGTTTGAGACCAGCCTGACCAACGTGGCAAAACCCTGTCTCTACTAAAAATACAAAAATTGGCCAGGTGTGGTGGCAGGCACCTGTAATCCCAGCTACTTGGGAGGCTGAGGCAGGAGAATCTCATGGACACAGGAGGCGGAGGTTGCAGTGAGCCAAGACGTGCCATTGCACTCCAGCCTGGGTGACAGAGTGAGACTTCATCTCAAAATAATAATAATAACAATAATTTAAAAAAAGCAAAAACCTGACAAAGATGAAATATCCAAAAATTACATGATGTTTTATATATGTGATGAATAGGTAGCAAATGATAGTTATGTTTTTGAATAGTTTTTTAAAGACAAGAGGTAATATTTAAATATAACACTGACTAGAAGAAGCAGGATAAAAACTTGTATTTAGAGTATAAACTCAGTTATGTACACAACAATGTACTCATGCTTTAAAGAACAGAAGGTAATTGATCAAAATGTGAGCAGTGATTTGACATAGTGATTATGCATACCTTTTTCTTTTCTTCCTTTAGTTTTTAGTACTTAAAAAAAAGTTTGCAACCACCAGGGGAAAAACACTCATTTAAAATGTTAAATAATACTGTCCAGATATGAATCATCCCAACTTCACTACTAAACTGTAATATTCAAGGAACAAACCACCTACCCCTGCTCCACACTCGTGTTTGGTCGTTGTCCAGATACGGATTCTGAACTGTCCGTTAGAGACGGCACTACAGCCAAAAACCTGAAAAATTTAAAACAGCATAAAATTGAAAATGAAGTCTCAGTCAGGATCTAATGGGAAGCTTTAGAAAGGATGATTTGTTTAGATGTTCATAGTTGCATCTACCCTCCCATAACCCACTGAATGGCAGGCAAAAGGAATATATAATAATTAGAATACTCTTTGGGTTATAAAAAAAATATGATGACATCCAGAGCCAAATATAAATGCCCATAACAAAACCTATTATTTTGGACTTCTCTGAATAGGAAATAATTTCTTAGCACTAAAAACAATAGCACCTTCAGAAATTAAAAAATCAGATAAGTAAAAGTGAATCTCAATCACTTTACTGAGCTCTTCCCATATGTGAAAGGAGTTTTGGGCTACCAATCAATATCCACACGTGCTTTATTTGAACCACCCTCATTTCCCAGCTGCTCACAGGTAATATTACTGTACTGCAATGAGAAGCAATGTTGGATAGTTTAGTTATTCCTCATGGAAATAATTTGAAATATAAAAATTTTCTACAATAGAGGGATTGCCAGGATCTACATCACCCTTCAAAGAGCAAGAGAATGCCTCTCATCTACATGGTTAGTTCAGAATAGCCTTATTATTCACACATTCAAGAGAATGATCTTTAAATACCAGAGATACGTGTTGCTTTTCCTTTTTAAAAAAATTTATAGGCTGAGTGCGGTGGCCCATGCCTGTAATCTCAGCACTTTGGGAGGCCAAGGTGGGCAGATCATGAGGTCAGGAGATTGAGACCATCCTGGCCAACATGGTGAATGAAACTCCATCTCTACTAAAAACACAAAAATTAGCTGGGTGTGGTGGTACATGCTTGAAATCCCAGCTACTTGGGAGGATGAGGCAGGAAAACTGCTTAAACCTGGCGGGCGGAGGCTGCAGTGAGGCAAGATCATGCCACTGCACTCTAGCCTGGTGACAGAGCAAGACTCTGTCTAAAAAAAAAAAAAAAAAAAAAAAAAAAATTATTATTTTTTGAAACAGTGCCTTGCTCACTCAGGCTAGAGTGCAGTGGTGTGATCATGGCTTACTGCAACCTTGACCTCCTGGGCTTAAGCAGTCCTCCCACCTCAACCTCCCATTACAGGCATGCGCCACAATGCCCAGCTAATTATTTTATTTTTTTATAGAGACAGGGTCTCACTATGTTGCCCAGGCTGGTCTTGAAGTCTAGACCCAAGTGATCCTCCCTCGTTGGCCTCCCAAAGTGCTGAGGATATGAACGTGAGCCATTGCATAGCTTGGCCTGTTTTTCGCTTAAAAGGAAATTTTAAATATAGTTTATTAAAGATAAAAATATGCTTAAAGTAGACTATCTGCCTTATTTAGCTATACTACTTTTTCAAGGATGAAGGTATCCAACATCCCTTCCATGGCCAGAGAAAAATCCCACGTAAATTAAATTTCTAAGGGAACTCAGTCCTTGCATTCAATAGCAAGAAACTGCATTGGCTTCATTTTGGTAAATACAAAGAAACCTTATTTTGAAAGTAAAGGTTTATTTTTGGCCAGGCACAGTGGCTCATGCCTGTAATCCCAGCACTTTGGGAGGCCGAGGCGGGCGGATCACGAGGTCAGGAGATTGAGACCATCCTGGTTAACATGGTGAAACCCCGTCTCTACAAAAATACAAAAAAATAAGCCGGGCATGGTAGCGGGAGCCTGTAGTCCCAGCTACTCGGGAGGCTGAGGCAGGAGAATGGCGTAAACCTGGGAGGCGGAGTTTTAAGTGAGCCGAGATCAGGCCACTGCACTCTAGCCTGGGTGACAGAACGAGACTCTGTCTCAAGAAAAAAAAAAAGAAACTAAAGTTTTATTTTTAAAGCTACAGTTTCATCATCCTTTGTATGTAGAGACACAGGACTTAGTGATAAAAGTAGTTTTTGATGATTTCTACTATAAGTTAGCAGGAGGAAAAATGGTATGTCACAATAGAATTGCATTATTTTAAAAGTTAGAAGAACAATTGTTTCAAGAGGCTGGCAACAATAATACAAATTATTTTCTTCAAAGATGTTGGCTCAATGATCTAAATTCTAGATTTTTAAAAACTAGCAAAACTGAGAAAAGATTCCCCCTCCCATCTCTTCCCACAGTAGTATACAAAGTGTTCCTAACAAACAAGACCTTTGATAGACTTTGTTTCTAATTCCTTTCTGAAAAGCAAGGAGGTAATTCCGTCCATCTCCAGAGAAAACTTCCACAGCAATAGGCTGAAATGATCAGAGAGAAAAACATTAAGAAAAAACAGAAGTTCACAAATAAGATTATATATTAACTTTTCCACTATGAATTTCTACAATGTTCAAGAAGTTAATTTGCTAACACTTTTAAAGTCATGAATTCCCTGAAGATTAAGCTACAAAATAAACAGATATTTCTTATTCTGCTCAATCTATTTCTAAAGTCTTTAACAGCAGAATAAAAATAATTATTATACAATTATAATTTTATAAAATTATAGTAAGGATGTAATTTTTATATTAGAAGAAAACTAAAATGTTAATTTGGATAGCTACAGGGAAAGATGGATAACAAAGATAATCACTCAAATTTTAGGTTGTGTTTAAACAAGAGAAATGCATTGTACAAAATTAAGCATCCACATGACCTGAGGTGACCTGAGTCTGTCTATAACCAAATCCAAGGATTATTCTAAATGCAGATCCTGGCCGGACACGGTGGCTCATGCCTGTAATCCCAGTACTTTGGGAGGCTGAGGTGGGTGGATCACGATGTCAGGAGATCAAGACCAACCTGGCTAACATGGTGAAACCCCATCTCTACTAAAAAATACAAAACAATTAGCCGGGTGTGGTGGCGGGCACCTGTAGTCCCAGCTACTCAGGAGGCTGAGACAGAAGAATGGCGTAAACCCGGGAGGTGGAGCTTGCAGTGAGCCTAGATCACGCCACTGCACTCCAGCCTGGGTGACAGAGCAAGACTCCGTCTCAATAAATAAATAAATAAATAAACAAACAAACAAATAAATGCAGATCCTATTGAGGGTTTCCATGGCACATACCAATTTTTAAATAATACATTTTCAGAATAAAGAAACAGGACAAAACAGTACTACTAAATTGACTCACCTGCAGGAGATATCTCCTTTTATGAACTTCCTTGATATCTTCATATGCAAAAATGCTGCATGTTCTCTTGAGTTGACTAGGACCTTGCCTGGCTCCTCTAGGGATAATTGGCTCATGCATACTACAGGCAGCCAAGAGAAAAAGCAAATAAACAAAAACACAGCAAGAGATAAATTTACTGTTCCACAAAGGGTGAGCTAATTTTAAACACATGAACAGGATGGAGGAATAATATATATCAGAATTTTCAGTTAAAAAATACGTTTAAAAGAAAAATTTGTTAGCTACCTGAGATACAAGGAACCCCCTTTGATGAATGCAATTTTAAAAACTCCCCTATTACTGTCAGGACCAAGTTATTCACCAGACATGGTTAGCACAGTGCTTCAGCTCACATACTTTCTGGGGACCAAGAAAATGCCTTAATTTATTTTAAAAATCAGAAAAAAAAATCAACTTTTAGGAAGAAAAAGGTAGAAAAAAATGTTTTAATATGTGATTATATTTATACCATTAGTCACAACATATAAGTTTAAATATTTTTGTATGGAAAAAGGACCCATAAAAGTCTTCATGTGACCCTGACTGTTGCTGAAATAATTATTTGAAATATCTCCTAGGAATGCACTATAGAAACAATGTCTGTATTCAAGGGTGCTAGGAAAATGTTAAAGAAGAGAAGCAGCCAGCCTGTTGATCTTCTAAGCCCTAAGCTTCTTATCCTTTTTCTAGCTTGGTCTCTCTCCAGAGTTTTCCACTACTCACTATTAGTTTCATCACAGGACAGCAGAAGAAAAGGAAGATGCCTACAACTCAGTCAGTAAATCTCTGCTAATGCTTTAGTCATGCTGTTTCTAGGGTACTCAGTACCTGATGATGCTCTTTCATTTTTAGGAGTATTGTGCAGTTACCTGCATTTTCTCTACAATTGTATATCTGCTATATTTTTTAAAAGGACGATTTATAAATTCAGAATAAATTTATAAATATATAGATTATAATATAAATAACTTGGAATGCACAGAAATAAAC